TAGGGGAGAGAAGGCTTCTTTAAAAAAAGTAACAGATTTAGCTAGATGAAAAGAAGCCAAGCATATCAGCAAAAAAAAAAAAAAAAAAAAAAGAGCAAAACTCTCCACAACCACCTATGCTGCTTGAATGCCTGGAAACAGTACAGGCTGGAGGACAACATCCATGGACGCAAAGGCAACGCAACCTCTTGGGAATGGGCTTTTAACCCCATCACCCCATGGGGCCCTGTCCTATGAAGGAGGAAGCTGGGTGAGATGGAGATGGACAACAGGGTTGGTTTTGGAGCTGTACTTCCAAGACATACCCTTGACTATTTCCTACCTGGGCTGAGCACAGCGGGAAGCAATGAGCTGGCTGGAAGATCAGGACTCAAAGATGGGTGGGAGCAGGTTGGAGAGATATCGCCAGATGTCCCTCCTGCTGTAGGAAGGGGTTATGGGGGGAGAGCGGACTTGATGTCCCCTAGGCTGGGAGAAAAACATGCCCTGCTGCTGCATCTCCAAAGTCAGCACCCAAAAATCACTCCTCTGTATATCCAAGCTAAGAACTTTGCAAACTAATATATGCCGTGTTGTGTGATATCCTTTGTTATGCTATTACTGGGTTTTCTTTAGAAGCCGATGCACTCGGGATTTGCTGAAACTTCAAGGAATTTACACGCTAGCCAAGCAAAATGCTCAGTGACAAGATTTAAAAAGCAGGCAAAGCTGACACATTTCATCTGCGGGTGCCTTGTGCAGTCGCTGCTGGAGGAAATGGGGCCGTTTTTAGGTCTTTGCTTATAATTTTGATGAGAGCGGGAAGACCTCAAAATAGGCCAGCGTTTACAGCAGTGCGGGAGGTGAGATTGCACAGCCAGGCAATGGAATTCAAATCAAATTCTCTTGCTTTGAGTCTCTTTTTTTTTTTTTTTGCGTGTGTGTGCGTGTCTTGTTGTTAATCAAGTTTAGTGGTAATCGGGTAACAAAAGCCAGTTCCCGAAGGCAGGGATTTTCGGGAGGTTTGTGTGGCTTTGCAGGACCCCCACTGTGCAGAGCTGACTCTGTAGCTCGTTCCTTGTGCAATAAACTCCTTCCACATCCTCACTCCCGCAGACGCCTGGGCAGCCTGAGCCCTGGCTGCAGGGTAGGAGACCTGCTCCAGGCTGTGCCTCACCATCAGCCCCACGGATGAGGCCAATTCAGCACATTTATTCTACACTCAATGGTAATAATCGAACCTTTATGCCAGGGACTAAATAATAAAGAAAAGCAAAACCTCTCCAGGGTGCTCCTATCTCCCTTCTGCAGCTGGGAAACTGGGAAAGGACAAATCTCCACTCACACAGGTTGGTTGAACCCAAATGAGCCCAGAATTGGGGTTTCCCAGACCCCACTGTTTTACCACAATCCCGTTCTTCCTCTGGGCCAAATTTAAGCTCCATACATTGCTTCCAGGCTGACACCATGCCTGCACCCTCTTCTCCAGGTGGAAGATGCAAAAGGCAGCTGGAGGCTGCAGCTACCTGTGGCTTCATCTGCCCATGCCCTAAGCCAGGGCTGGTGGGAGCATCCCAGGGATGCGTTCCAGCTTGCTGGAGATACAGTGCAGGGATCTACCTGGCCTGGGACATGTTCAAATGAAGGACACAGGAAAGGTGATCTAGAAAAATGCTGTGCCGGTTTCATCTTACGGACTCTTTTGGGAGGAATCCTTTTTACCAAGGAAGATGCCAATTTGGAGCATATAATCTGATTTTGGGTACAAAATATTTGCCAAGGAGATGGGAGAGCCCCAGCAGAGCTGCCTGGGAAATGGATGGAGAATTTTTACCTCCACTAGGAAAACCTGAAGTGATATGTGGGGTTTGGGAAGCTGCTTTTGTCAGCTGCTTGGCATTTTTATGGAGACCTTAATCAAAAGCTGAACAGCCAAAAGGGATTTTCTTGTATTGTTGTTTTGTTTTTGGTTTGTGGCAATGAAGAACCTATAATGTTGGCAGGCTTTTATACAAGCAAAATGTAAGAGAAAGATGGATGTTTCCAGCATTTTTCTTTTTTGATTTAAAAGAAAATTAATCAAACACCCCCTTCCCCCAACAAGATTAGTTCTACCAGCTTCGATCAAGAGGCTTTTAGAAAGCGCTCTGCATTAATAATCAATAACAGCAGCCTACATTTTAATAGTACCCGTCATCTTGGACAAACCAAGCATCTTTTATATCTAAGCTAACCAAAATATGGTTCTTAGCCATCAATAAAAATGCAACCTCCTCTTTGGCAGAAACAGACAGTTGCCTAGCTGTGTTAACCAAGGTGGCATTCAACACAGGACTAGAGGACATACCTGTAATTCCAAGAAGCACTAGTGCTGTTCCTCTTCTTTCTTGCAGGGCTTGCCTAAATTTCAGTTAGTGCCTCACTGACATGACCAACTATTTCATCTCTTTTGGAGCAGATGTTTCAGGCCCTCTGCAAACTCAGCTGTCCTTTTGCTTTAGATTTGCAGTTGGCTTTGCTTTGTATCAGCACAGAAGCTGAAAAGTGTGCTTTTGGAGATGCTTCCATCAGGAGCTAAACCAAAAATCCTCTCCATCCGAAGGTGATCCAGGTGGTGTCCTGGATCAGTGCTCTCCCTCAATCCACCTCCATCAACTACCTTATGGGAGCAGTGAGGATGATGGCTTGATGTGGAGCAAGGATGACTTACAGGATGCACAAGATACTGCCCCAGCATAATCCACACAACTCATGGCACATTCCTGGAAACACTCGGGGCAGAAAGCAGTGGGGCAGTGCCCCAGTCACCTACTCCTCCTTCATACACCAGAAGACATCCTGATTATTCCCTTTTTCCTCCTCCAGCTTTGGTAGGGACTGAGCCCACCAGCCCCTCTGCAATCACAGTATGCCCTTCCTTCCACCCAGAGCTGAGGTGGGCACGGCTGCAAGGACAGTCCACCTCCTTCCCTTTGCCCTGCCAGTCCTCCTTCTCCTCAAATTACACACTTTGCTCTTTTTCTCTTTTCCTGGCTAGAAACGCATCTTGAGCAAATTTCCCTCTCACTGTTCAACCTCCCCATCAGACATTTGGGGAGCGGGGGGCAGAATGAAATGATTGGAGCAAAAGATGATGCTGCAGCTCAGCCGGGCTCCCAGCACAGTGTGGTCCCCATGTAAACGCCCCCAAAGAACAAGCCCATCCCAGAAGACTCAGTCTCTATGGGCTCTTGTATCACAGGTTTTTCCTCCCTCACCCTGCAGAGAGGTCTGAAGCACAGAAAGGTCAAACCATTGCATAAAAGCACCCAGCAACCTGCTCCCTCTGTCATTTATTTTGCTGCAGCTCTCCTTTCCTCTCCAACATCCAAAAAGGACTGTGGGGTCTGCTTGGCTGGCACCTGGAGATGTTGCAGCAGAGCTGAGCAGGGGCTTGAGAGCTGCATGGGACGAGGCATGGGACCGTGTGCCTATGGGGTGGGGTGGTTTTCCCTCTTTACAGCTCAGCGCTGGCAGCATGAGTTTTGTAGCAAGGGCCTGATGTTGCCCTGCTCCTGGGCTCCCTGGAGCCCCACCAAGCTTGTCTGGGAGAGCTGGGCAGAGATGCTCCCCCAGAGAAGTGGAATTTTTAAAGCAAAGCCGATGTTGATTAGTATGTAGCTGCTTCCCTGCTCCTCACTCATCACGAGGAAGCATTGACATATTTCATTACTGCATTTGATCTCGTCCCTCTAACAGAGACAGAATACTGCCAGCTCAGAATACACCTGCTTTTTATGAACAGGCTATTTATTAAAAAAAAAACCAAAAACCAAAAAAAACCCCCAAGTTTAGAGCAGAGCTGGACCCTGCCATGTGTCCTGGGAAGGATTTTGCTTTCTAACCAGCAGCGCTGAGCTGAGGGGGCTGAGGAGCAAAGGGAAGCTCACAGGGGAGCAGCGGCTGGTGGGGAGTGAGGGCTTCAGAGCAGGACTTGCTGTTTCCTTGCTGGGGGATAACATCAATCACCAGCAGCAGGATTTTCTACATCTTTTCTGCTTTGTCACCTGGCTTCGTACCTGGGGAGGGTGAGCAGGGTGGTTGTACAGCGGAGACGGCCGGGACACGGGCACAGCACCTCTTGGGTACCTGCCAGCGCCCGGCGCAGGCTCTGCCGATGCTGCGCCGTGCTCGGCTGAAGGCAAGCACCTCCTTGATTGTCTCCTGCCCTGAGCTGCTTATCACAAACCAGCCTGGATCAGCGGAGCCGGCATAAACCCAAAGCAGCCCCCTGAGAAAGCCAGCACACGCGTCAGATCTGGATCCGGCCCACCGGCTTGTCAGCGCAATGTCCCTAATGACGCAGGCTGCTATAATTAGACCGTTGGGGGTGCTGACTTGCCCGAGTCTTGCCAATTTGCCAGGCGGGCTTAGCCTTTCCCTCCCGACCCCCAGAGTGGGAGTTGAAGCCAGTGAATCCTCACAAACGCACGTGCTGGGATAAAGCAGGGGTTTTGGGGGACTCGGGATGGGGTGGGGGGAGTAGCCGACATCCTTAGCCAAGGCACAAGTCCAGGGAGCAGTAGAGCATCCCGTAGGACCGGGCTCCAGAAGTCCCTGCATTTTCAAAGTGCACATGCTTTTTTTGGTTTTTGTTTTCTTGGCTAGTGTATGGTCAAGCCATATTGAGGAGGTCAGGTCATGAGTCTATCCTCTGGGCTCTGTTCCTCAAGCCCATGAAGAACAATGTGGAGCAGCTGCCTAGAGGGGGAGAACTAAATAAGTAACTTCTCTAAGTTACTTGAGAGGGCACCTTAAGCCCAGCTCCTCCAAAGGGACAGAGGCACTGAGGGAGAAAGCCCTCAGCCAACACATACGCCTGGAAAATACACGTAAAAGCATTTATCCAATGAAGAATGTGATTCCAGTGGCCCTCAACATCCAGAAAAACACCCTTATATTCAAGCCCACCCAAATACATGGCAGGTGCCTCGTCCTCTCTTACCTGTCCACGCTGATGATGCACAAGGTCATGATGGAGGCGGTGCAACACATAACGTCCATGGCGATAAACACGTTGCAAAAAACCTTCCCAAAGAGCCACTCTCCCCCCACCAGGTCTGTGATGGTCACAAAGGGCATGACAGCGAAGGCCACTGACAGGTCGGCAGCTGCAAGGGACACCACCAGGTAGTTGGAGGGCTGCCGGAGCTTCTTGACGATGCACACAGAGATGATGACCAGACCGTTGCCGGCAATGGTCATGAGGATGATGATGGAGAGCACCACTCCAATGACAATCTTCTCAGTGTCCCCATAGAGCAAGATCTCCTCGCCACAGTCTGTTGCGTTGGTGAGGTTGGAGGATGGCAGGTCTGGCTCAGCTGGGATGGAGGGTTCCTCAGTCATGAATGGATTCGGGAGCGATTTCTGAGCCGGGTGCTGCTGCTCTGCGTTCTCCACAAAGAGAAGATGGTGCTCCAGAAACCGCCAGGGGCTGGCCCTTAGCAACATGCTCTGAGCTCACCACAGCGGGCAATGGCACGAGTTTTCTCCCAGCGATGACACCTCCGGTGACAAACCAGAACATTTTATCACAAACAGGCCGAGAAGACAAAATATCCCCCCCTCCCCCAGCTCATGCCTCCCAAAGCTGCGGTTGGATCTCACGTGCTCAGCAAGAAGCCGCTTCCCAAGTCTGCTTGAAGACACACAGGTTGCTGGAGGATGCTCGGAGAAAGCTTGTCTCCGCTTTTAAAGGAGCACAAGCTGCCCAGTCCGCCTGCGACGGCTGCCTGGTCATCTGTGTGCTTTTCAGAAGGACAGATCAAGGCAGCTGACTGTAACTGCCCACGTTATTATGCATTACTGCTGAGCTGTGCTGCTGGTCTTGCACTTCTGTGCACCCCTACATTTAAATCCCATGAAATTACATGCATATCCTTGTAGGTGTGTATCAAAGAGTTTGTGACACGCAAGTCACGGTCACAAATGTGTGCACAGACATCACCGGCTGTGTCTCCTGCATGCGTTAACACACAAACTTCAGAGCTGTGACTGTAAATCCATGCACATGGCATGTAATGGCAACATGCCACCGTGGGTACCCACAGGAGCCCAGCAGAGGTGCAGCAGGAGGTGGGAGCGTACCCATCACATGCAGCATCCCTGGGGTACCACACACAGGCAGGTGAGGAGGGTCGGGATGTCCCAGCCCGTGCCCAGAGCTGTGAGCATCACCACCACACACAGAGCAGAGATACAAGGAGAGCAGCTACCCCTCTTCCATCCCTGGATATTCAACCCTGGAGGTACTTCCCAGCCACCAGCACAAAAACTTTAGGGCATGGCTCACCCCTATGCAGGGCTCCAGGCATCATGCACAACCTGCAGCCTCCTCTTTTTGTTTCAAAGCCCCTTTTCCCCTTGAAGGGATTTCTGTTTAAATGAAAGCAGGATCGCAACCCCCCTCCTCCCCTTCGCAGCCCCCTCTCCCGCCCAGGCTGGGGCTGATGGGGGTCCCGGAGTTACCTGTGCCGAGGGGGTGAGACATCCTCCAGGCGAGCTCCTGCGAGCTCCGGGCAGGCGAGAAAGCAAAGAGCCACCCCCGGAGCATCCTTCTCCCCTCCCCGCCTCGCCGGTCCCTCCTACCGCCCTCCCCTCGCCTCTCCCCGGGCAGGGACCCAGATGGTCCCTGGCTCCCTCTGAGCCCCGGGGAGAAGCAAAGACTGGGGAGAGGGGGGGGATCCAAGCGGGGTCCTGCAGCCACCCCAGCCTTGCAGCGCTGGGTGGGACGTGCGAGGACCTCGAGAGAAAGGCTGGAAGTTGCAAAGATGCCTTTGAACGCGGTCCTGCAGCGCAGAGAGGCAGGCGCAGGAGGAGCAGCTCGAAACCCAGCAAAGCAGGATAATACAGAACAGGGGCACAAAGAGAGGCTGTTTCCTAAAGCCTTCCCCATATATCTTTTTTTGAAGTTGATTTTACAGGAGAGGATTTATTTTCCTGCTCCATGCGTTTTTCCACCCCCTCTGCTTTTAGGATGTCCCATATTCATTCAGCTCCGTGCTGAAGAGCAGCAAACAGCCAGGGAAAGGCACATCCCTAAGGATGAGCCTTTCCCTTATCCTAGTAAAATCGAAACAGAGAGAATAAACAAACCAGGCAAGAGCAGGCAGAAATCCACATCCATTTCCCTCTCTGCCGAATACTTCACTGGTGCTTTGGTGCTGGGATCGCTCCGATGCTTCCATCCAGGGATTCAGACATCTGCTGCTCATTCCTCCCTAGGTGAAAGAAGTGGAACAGAGTCGTCCCCTGCATTGGCTGCTCCTGAAGGCAGTTCCCCTGGGAGCTCAGCCTGTCTGCTCCCTTCCTGGATTGGGGGGGACATCCCCTTGCACAGGCTCCATCCAGCACCCCTTGGGGTGATGGGTGTCCAGCTAGGAGAGGTGCAGGCAGGTGTTTTCAGGCTCAGGAAGTGTTTCTTGCTTCTCTGCCCTATGCTAAGCACTTCAGGAGCGAGATGGGCACCTCCATCCCTGGTGCCACCAGCTCCCTTGCCCGTGCCGGGGCTGTGCAAACACCCTGTCACCCTCCCGGGGACAGCACCAAGGGCTGATTATGGAAAAACTACCTTTAAATCTCTGAGATGCAGAGCCCGGCATTACCATGGGTCCATCAGCACCAACCCCAAGAGATTTTGGGGGCAGATGTTCCCTGCAGAAGTACATCTGTAGGGAAAGCGCCGGGGAGCTGAAACAGGGCTGTTAAGGCTGTACTTAACACTCGTGTTTCTCCCTCGCTGCTCAAGCATCACAGTGTGCGTGGGAGGCTGGCTAAAATAGCTTCCTTGCCAGGGCAGGGTGTGCTGAAGCTCTGCTTTTCCTGCTCTTGGCAATACGTGTGGGGATTTTTTTCCGGCCCCTTGAGAGGGACAGCACACCAAGATGGGATGAGGCTGATACACAAAGACAACCTACAAAGCCCAGTCTCTGCCTGATGGGGAGAGCCTGATGGACTCCTTCCGTGGCCTGTGAACTCACCAGTACGTAGTGGAAAAAGATAGCATGTATTTCCAAAGAGAAAGAGGGATCTGCAGAACTGCTGCAGGACCAAAAGGATCTGCAGTCTCAAAACCCAGACAAATTCATCAAGAATAAAACCATTCTCTAAGGATAAGCCATTACGTGCCAAGGTAGCCTTTCACCAGATGCCTGGAGAGTTTCAGGAAAACCATCTGCACATGAGCTGCAAACTCCTGCCCTGCTTTCAACCTTGGATTTGGGGTTTGGCAGGAAGGGACTGGCAGGAGGGGTTTTTCCAGCTTCCCCAGAGGTTACCTTTGGGACACCAGTGCAGCAAACATCTCCAGTGCATTAGCAAGAAGAGATAGGGAGGGATTTTTTTCCTCTCAATGTACTGCTGAGAAGCAGCTGGCTTATGCACAGCAGTCAAGAGTTCACATCCAGGCAGAGGAAGGAAGGAGAGAAGGTGATTATAAAGGTGATGAGCTTCATGGTCCCTTTGCTCTGGCTGACCCGTTGCCTACGGCAGAGCCCTAAAATCCTGCAATAAATTCCGTGAGGTGAATTAACCTCCCTATCTCCTGTCCCAGCCCCATTGCTTTAGGATATGACATATATCTTCTACCTTCTGAAACCCCTGAAGGTGCAGGGACTCCAGAGATTTTCTTCCCCCTTTCCAGGGGGAAAGACCTGCTCTGATAATTTCGGGCACAGCAAAATTCATGGAAAACCAAGGGCAGTGGGCCATCGGCCAGCTCATGGGACATGCACTGGCTGGAAGGCACGTTCTCTGCATGGGCTGATTTTTTTGAGAACAGAAGGGAAAATACCACTTTTTGTGTGAAGGAAGGATTAATAATAATAATAATAATAATAATAATAATAATAATAATAATTCTCCCTAAAAATCTTAGTGCATCATTTCTCCAGCTGCAGGTCTGATGACCTTACTAAGATACTTGCTCCTGGGGCACGCTGGGAAGCGCTAATTGCATTTAACGACAATTAGTAGAGGAAACAGCCAGTATGCCTTAGCATAGCTGCCAACTGCAGCTTTGTCTCTTCAGAGAAGAAAGCACAGATTTGGAGGAGCAGGGCTGTTGCCGGAGAGAGATGGATGAACCCCAAAGAAAATTCTCCTTGAAAAATAAAGCTGAAAAGTTGAAATATAGCTAAAGTTTTTCCCCTCCATCTTCAGGCAGACAAGAGATGAACAAAGTCCTCCCACTGTGTCAGAAAGGCAGTGCCCAGGTATGTTCTTCCATCTTCATGTGCAAACAACCATTAAAGTGGCTATTTTATTAACTATTAATTGTTAATATTACACCCTATTAACTCTAATGGCAAGGTAATTGGCAGAGTTATTAATATGCAAATTCTGAGAAATCTCATTAACTCCAAGGTCCTCAACCTCTCAATGTTTTCAGGACTAGCAGTCTTCCCTGCATCGCAGGTGTTGACATTTCTCCCTTCCAGCAGTCAGAGCCTGCCCAGATGGATAAAATTAACCACTCAAGGCTATCAGCTTTCAAGGAGCATCCTTAAGGACTGTTCTTGCCTCCAGAGAAGTTCCTGATGAACCGGTCTGGGATATCTAAACCCTCCCTGATTTGGAAACAGAGGGTCTTAGCCTACTTTCACAGCAGAGTGGCCTGATGAAGTGCAGATACTGTGGTGCTCCTCCAGTGGTTGTGGTCAGGAATGATGATGCCTGAGTTCTTTCAAGGACTGAAAATGCTGAGGGCATCACCTCCTCTCCATGGACACATGTCCTGCTTTCCCTTCAAGGCTTCCCGCTCCCAAAGACGGCCCATGTCCTCCTAGTGAGCACTGAAGCCCAGTTTTCCAGAGGTGTTCAGCCAGCAAACACCATCTCAGTGTAGTGGGAACATGGTACCCAAGAGATGGTTGGGTCTCCCAGACAATGGAGCTTCAGGGTTCATGCCAGGGAGGCCAGTCTCACCACCTCAGTGCCTGCTGAAATAGGGCCGACAGAGGTCTGTAGCAAATGAACCTGAGCTTGAGGGGAAACTAAGGCACTTGAAAGGCCCAACGCTGCAGTGAAACTCCGCATTTAAAGTTTCAAACCACACATGTCCTTTAAAAATCAACTCACAATTTTACAAAAAAGAACAAAAGGTGTTTGAAGAACAGTCCCTACATAAGACCTGATAGCATTGAAGTGGAACTGTTTCAGTCAGACCAGGATAAGATCTCCCTGTCCCTCTTCCAAGGCATGAAGCCCTCAGCCTACCCAAGCATCCCTGCATCCCTTCAGTTTCCCTCTGCACCACAGCAGCAGTATAGGGAATTTCCTCCTTGCAGAAATCCATCCTCTGGGAAGGAGGCAAATAGCAGGGGCAGAGTGAGGGGGACACAGTTCAGGGCACCCCATGGGACCGGTCTCATAGCAGTGACATTGGTAATCAAAGAATTTCAGCATGGGGATCCAACCAGCAAAGGGCTTTCTGCCTAAAATCATTTGCCATGAAGGGAAAAGCCAATACAGTACAGTACGTAAGTTAACGATCTACCTGCAACGTAAAACTCTCAGTCAGATCTTTGCTTTGTTTTTTTTTTTTTTTACTGGATCTCCCCAGAACAGAAAAAAAAATAGTAAACTTTCATCTATTTATAAAGACACTCCATACCTTTTCCTGTTTGAGCAGATGAGGAGCAATTGGGAACCTCGTCGGAAAACACCATCCATAGGAGACATCCAAATAGCTCATCTCAAAAAGGTGCATTTGCTGAAGAGCAGAGGATATTAACATTCTCAGAAACAGCCACACTCCCTCTGCTGGAGCCTGCACAGACAGCAAGCAGCTTTTAGTGTTTAAATCACCCAGAATTTGCAAATCATGGAAATCTCTATGCCCCATCAGAGTTAAAGCCAAGGCAAGCCACGTGCTGGCAGCACCAATACCTCATCTCGACGTCCTGCAAAGGTGGGATTGCTCCAGGGGAGGATGTAGACAAACTGGAGGGACATCTGCTGCAGGATGGGGATGAGGTGGAGGCATAGAAGCCCCTGACAGCAAACTTTTGGCCTGCAGATCCTCCTCTCCACGCCGAAGCCGTCCACAGTGAGTGCTAAAAGGGAAGCTCATGAAGATAGCAGAAAAAAAAAAGAGAAATCAAAAAGCTTGAAATAGGAGAGGAAAGGTTGAAGAATAAGAGATTCAGCTGGAGTTTCCAACACAAACCCTTTAGCCCTGCAGCTCTGGTTCACAGTTGTAGCCACCCATTTGCCAGATGTTTATTATTAATTTATTTATTCATTATTTATTGCCATTGTTTATTCAAAGTGATGGACGTGCAGCATGCCAACCTACTGCTCTCCCATCCACCATCTCCAAGGGTTTATGTAGAGCCTCACTGCATTTTTAATACGCAGTGAGGTAGGTGCTGATTTAGTTTGGTAGACTCCAAGAGTCATGCAGTGCTGAACCAGCCCCCCTTGACACATGGCCCTGGTGTTACACCTCCGGACCATCCAAAGTGGAGAGGGAGAGAAGTGGGTGATGCAGAGCAAGCATCCCTGGCCAAACCTTTTCTAAAAGCCAGGTGGACACGGCCCTCTGGAGAGCAGCAGGGAGAGGGAAGGTTGTTTCAGGACATCAGGGCAAACCTCGAGCTGGACACGTGGGCTGTGCTTACAGAGGTGAGCTCACAGAGTGCTGTCTCACTTGCTGTTCCTCCACATGCTTAGACTGAATCACCAAAGAAAAACCTCTGTGCAGGCTTCTCCATTCCATGGCTTTGGGCATGAGCACTGTGTGAAGGTAGCAGCTTTCATCTTGGGATTAGGGGCTGGCCACCAAGTTCCTCATTTTGAGCCTGGGGTTCTCCATGGTTGACGCCAAAGGGACTGGAAGTGGAGAGGTGCTGAGACTCTTTGGAGGTTGCAGGTGGGTTGGGGTGGTGCAGCAAGTATTGCCAAGTTTGGAAATGAAACCCTTCCTTGTCTTCTTTTGTCTGTCCCCTAGATGGCACCTGCTCTCAGCAGATTAAATCCCTGATGAAAAACAGCAGGTTTGGGTGCCCGGGAAGGCTCAGGGCTGCAAGCTGCTTGCCAGGAAGCAAACAAACAAAAAACCCCACCCCAAACATCGAAAAAAGCTACAATTAATGGCTTTTTTAGCTCTTACACCAAGAACTTGAGATACCTGACCCCTCCCTGGCTGCAATGTTTCTGCTGCTTTCTTTTCTGGACCATCTCTCAGTCTTCAATCCCCCCAAGATAGGACCTCTTAGCCCCTGTGCCCTTTCTCAGCAGCTTTCCTTCAGTGGTATGTGCGCACCTGGGGACAGTGACAGGCCCCAGACTAGGATCACATTGGGAAGATATTTCAGTCCTTCGTAGGGTTGGGGAGGGCAGGGAGGAATACGCCAACTCCCTCTTCAGTTTAAATCAAAGCAGGACATTGCGAATGGAAATGTACCAACAAGCTCCTGTCAGTTCGAGGAAAGCCCAGATGCAGCCACCCTAAATAATCCCTTTTCCATGCCCTCCGTACCAAGACATGGTACAGGGCAAACCCAGGGATTACATCCCTGGGGCCTTACTCCTCTTGGAACAGTTTATCCATGTAATCTTTGGTCAATGGATATTTAAACCCCTCCTGCAAAGCTCCCGGCAGTGCAGCGCATGTGTGTCCCGGTGGGAAAGGAAGGACATGGTGGGGGAGAACATGTCCCCATCTGACCCCTTCCTTCCCCAGCTCAGATCTGCACCAACCACCACTGATGTTTAAACCACTATTATTAGCCACCTGCTTTGAACGGGGATGCTTCGCACCTCGCAGTGTTATGGCCTTGCCAGGCTGCCCGCAGCCGTGACCAGATGCCCATCCGCTAGAACTCCTTCCTGTGACATCCAGGTGGTGACAAACATGTCCTGCCCACCTCCTCAGCACCCATCCTGAGGGGCTTGCTGCATCCCAGTACGTTTATGGTCCTGATATAGCACTGAGTCCTTCATTACACCTCACCTCAGCCCAAAGGTGCTGTACAGCCTCCCAAACTACACCTAGGCACCAAGCAGGGACCTGGGGGGTGTCCTGCAAAGATACCCTCATGGACTGAAGAAAGACAGCTGCCACAGAGACACCAGGGGCTCAGGTGACCCTGTGACTCCGGGATGTTGTATTTGATGGGTGCACAACCACTTCTTACTAATTCTTTCATCTCATGCTTGAGACCTCCAGCCTGTCCAGGAAGGAGCAGTCTTGGGTAGGAATATGCTTTTGCTCTCCGCTCATCTTGCGAGGGGTTCCCCAGGTGTTCAGGACAATTCCCCCACCTATGCAATCCCTCCTCACAGCCTGAGATCTCAGAAGGGAGAGGTGTTTGCCACATGCCCCACTCCGAGCTGCTTCTTGCTGCCAAGGCCTTAATCCTCACACCAGTTTGAGGATCTCTGTGCTTGGCTTCTTTCGGAGGTCCCTTTTAGGACCTTGCTGTGAAGGAGGATGCAACCTACCTGCCTGAAAGCAACACAGAGCTGCAAAAAGGGCTCCTGACCCCCCCCAGACCTTGCGACCACTCCACCCTTCTGCAGAAGAGGTTGGTACGAGACGGGTGCAGCAAACAGCCTGAGCACTCCTTCCCTGCCCCAGGGACTGGCACATCCCAAACGTCCCATCCCACAGCACAGAATGGCTCAGGCACTAAAAATTTGAGGCTGCCCACATGTTCAGCAGCCCTCTGAAGTTAAGACTGCAAGGACTGGTTCCCCTTTTCCCGATAACCTGTCCTGTATTTTTTAATATATATATATATTAAAAAAGAAATATATATAAGAGGGTCACCAACATTGCCTCTAGGGCAACCCACGCTGCCAGAAGACAGAACTGGCCCTGTATGGAGGGTGAATCCCACAGGACATGGACAGATGCAGTGATTGGAAGCAACCAACGAGTTTGCAGACTCCAGTTCCTCCCAGATAACGCTCCCAGATCCACAGGGCCATTCCCTGTCTTACACTTACCTCAACCTCAGCTTGCCTTCACAGGCAAAAAGCCCCTTTCTGTGGAGTGAGCTCCTGAAGGACCTTGACTGGCTAGATGGAGCTGGAGAGCAACTATCCAACCCGGATCCTATAGTAGGTAACTAGTGAATTTACTCCATGGAGAAGTGGATCATTCTCAGGCTACCACACAACACAAAATTCACTAGGGCTTGGGCTCATCTCTGGTTTGAATTATGCCAAGGAAGTCAGAGCCACAAGGGCAATGCCAGCCCAGGTCCAGATGCTTTCAGTGCACCATAGCAGGTAAAGGGTGCAGTTATTTCTTAGGTTTCCCCCTTAAAGGATGAAGGAATCTCATTTTTGGCTCCCCAGACTCTCATGGGTAAGACAACATGTCCTTACCAGCATGGTTGAGATGCCCAAATGCTACAGGTGTTGGGGATTATAGAAGTATCTCAACTACAGGGATCCCCATCAGTTACCAGAGAAATACGTACATCAGTACTAGGAGAGAAGTCCAAGCTATGCTGGGAGCTTAAAGGTTAAATAAAGGACACTGATTAGGCACAAAGTAGAAATATATAAACAGTATATTTCTTTTTATTTTTGTTTTTAAATACAGAGTTTCCTTATACAATAAAGGAATTCCCTCTCCCTCCCCCCCCGCCCCAAGCAACTCTTATCAAAAGAAATCATTCACTGTAAAATCAACACTAGATAGAGGCATGCGCTTTAAGAGCATATTTAGCAAGTGCAATATCTATGGGCCATATCTCCCTAAATAGGAACATGTGCTTCCCCTCACTTAAAATAGTTCCCCAGCAATCTGTGACGGAAACCTCCTGGTCACCAAATACAGAAATATTTAACTGGTTACATGCCATGTGATGTAATGGAAACTAAACCCACCGCCGGTCTTCTCCTGGGACGCTGCAGACCGCCCCAGCCAAGTGTTTCCCCTGGCACTCTCCCCTATGGAAAGGGGATGCAAGATTTGAGATGAGGTGACCCTGCCTCAGGACGTTTCTCTTCTTAAATCACTTCCTTGGAGCTTATCCTGCATTTACACACCCCCCCAAGGAAAGCAGGAGGGGAAAGTGAGGGAGTACTTAAGATACAGCCCCATTCTCGGGTCAGACCAAGGGGAAGGGGGTTTAGTTTGCACTAACATTCAAGAGCACACACTTTGGAGAAGTAAGGTAACTTTTTTAGCAGGTGAACTGTTGTGCTCTAGTCAGAGAATTCTTGTTTTCTGGGGTAACAACATCTGCGTGGGAACAAGGTACAACTTCACATCAATAAAGAGGACAGGGAGAACAGAAGGGCTAAACACTTCTGAAAATAACAGGGCACTAAGCCACCTTACTTACTAAATCAGAGCGGCTCCACCACAAGCAAGAGGCTAAATCCTCAAAGGGTCAAACAGCACAGTAAGCTTCTCACTTTCCAGCAGCTGGTGTGCTTTGCAGCTGAATCACACTTTCTCCCGTGGGAACAGATCCACTTAGACCTGCCGGGCACTTCAGATCACAGCCCAGCACCTGCCAGGGAACGGACACCTCTCACGCAGTGTCCCAGCAGCCACAGCTTCCAGACAGGGGCACTTAAAAACCAGGGCCCCAATTACACTTTGGCTTCAGAAGTCTTGGAGATGGGAGGTAGCTGCTAACACCTGGGCAGGTGGAAGGAAGCTCCACAATAAAGATGGAATCACTGAAAAGCCTGTTTATGCAGGATGGGATTCCGCTGGGGATGTGGTTTGAAATCAGTGGCACTGGTCCCAAAGTTGAGAAGTTCAGAAATACATGATGCTAAAGATACGCGCTTTAAATAATAGAAAGGTGGCTAACTCAGCTCCCGAGGCAAGCAGCTCACAGAGAGAAGGGTACACTGCATGAGCTCGGTCATGTCACTCAGATGTCAATCAACCACCTCCTCAAAAGAGATCCCCTGCAAAACCAGAGATGTCATCTCTCACAGCACCGAGGGCTGCACCTTCTGCTCCAGCCACACCTGGCAGAGACCAGCACAGCCATGCCACCCTGCCACACGGACACTGGCAGAAGCAAAGCCATCTAAGTCATCCAATCATGTGAAACTTATCTAAATTCAATGCCTGGAAAAAGCGTGCTGAGACACTGATTGTGGCTGATAGGCAGAGCGAGGACTGAGCACAGCCCTTCAGCAAAAGCCTCCCCAGCACCGAAACTGATACTCCAGCTCTTGAATTTGATATGCTCGTTTTCTGCAAAACCCTGATCACATAACAAACACTTTACTCAAGAGGTGGGGGTGTTTTTCAGTTTGGTTTGTGGTTGGTGTGTTTGTTTGGTTTTTTTTTTTTTTAATGCTAAAAGCAAATATCCAGCGTGGCTCAAGGTCAACAGGGACAGAATTTAATTGCAAACTGTTTTTCCCTTCCCTTGTTCACTTTTGGGAGTGCCACCTGCAGCTACGAGCGATAACGATAGCTTTTGCAGCAGCAAGAATTTGTCACGCAGATCACCAACTGAGATGCCACATGCATCCCCCTCTTCTGCTCCAAGAGCAGACTTCAACTCTCCAAGCAAGCAGCTCTTTGCAGCAGAAATACAGATGGGGAGCAGAAGGCAGCATCTCCCCCAGGACAAACTCTTAATATTTAATGTGACATCAGAGCAGTGCCAAGTGATCCAAGCTCATGCAGAGTTTTCTACAACAGAAAGACAGACACAGCCAAGGATTGTCTTAGTTTGAAAGGAAAACACACAAAAGTTGAAGAGGAAAGTGCTAATTTGTATTTCTAAAGCATGTACTCTGGCAACTCCCTCGTCTGTCTGCTTTTTACACAATATTGATGACTTGCTCTTTGCAACCAGATCTGCAGCCAGTGGTCCGGGCACTTCAGATCACAGCCCAGCACCTGCCAGGGAACGGACACCTCTCACGCAGTGTCCCAGCAGCCACAGCTTCCAGACAGGGGCACTTAAAAACCAGGGCCCCAATTACACTTTGGCTTCAGAAGTCTTGGAGATGGGAGGTAGCTGCTAACACCTGGGCAGGTGGAAGGAAGCTCCACAATAAAGATGGAATCACTGAAAAGCCTGTTTATGCAGGATGGGATTCCGCTGGGGATGTGGTTTGAAATCAGTGGCACTGGTCCCAAAGTTGAGAAGTTCAGAAATACATGATGCTAAAGATACGCGCTTTAAATAATAGAAAGGTGGCTAACTCAGCTCCCGAGGCAAGCAGCTCACAGAGAGAAGGGTACACTGCATGAGCTCGGTCATGTCACTCAGATGTCAATCAACCACCTCCTCAAAAGAGATCCCCTGCAAAACCAGAGATGTCATCTCTCACAGCACCGAGGGCTGCACCTTCTGCTCCAGCCACACCTGGCAGAGACCAGCACAGCCATGCCACCCTGCCACACGGACACTGGCAGAAGCAAAGCCATCTAAGTCATCCAATCATGTGAAACTTATCTAAATTCAATGCCTGGAAAAAGCGTGCTGAGACACTGATTGTGGCTGATAGGCAGAGCGAGGACTGAGCACAGCCCTTCAGCAAAAGCCTCCCCAGCACCGAAACTGATACTCCAGCTCTTGAATTTGATATGCTCGTTTTCTGCAAAACCCTGATCACATAACAAACACTTTACTCAAGAGGTGGGGGTGTTTTTCAGTTTGGTTTGTGGTTGGTGTGTTTGTTTGGTTTTTTTTTTTTTTAATGCTAAAAGCAAATATCCAGCGTGGCTCAAGGTCAACAGGGACAGAATTTAATTGCAAACTGTTTTTCCCTTCCCTTGTTCACTTTTGGGAGTGCCACCTGCAGCTACGAGCGATAACGATAGCTTTTGCAGCAGCAAGAATTTGTCACGCAGATCACCAACTGAGATGCCACATGCATCCCCCTCTTCTGCTCCAAGAGCAGACTTCAACTCTCCAAGCAAGCAGCTCTTTGCAGCAGAAATACAGATGGGGAGCAGAAGGCAGCATCTCCCCCAGGACAAACTCTTAATATTTAATGTGACATCAGAGCAGTGCCAAGTGATCCAAGCTCATGCAGAGTTTTCTACAACAGAAAGACAGACACAGCCAAGGATTGTCTTAGTTTGAAAGGAAAACACACAAAAGTTGAAGAGGAAAGTGCTAATTTGTATTTCTAAAGCATGTACTCTGGCAACTCCCTCGTCTGTCTGCTTTTTACACAATATTGATGACTTGCTCTTTGCAACCAGATCTGCAGCCAGTGGTTTAATGGACAGGGTTTGGTACTTAAACGCCATAATTAGATATGAAAACAATTAGAGAAGACTATTCTGTTCTAACATCCACAGGCCTCAGCACAGATAGAAAATGGAGCAAACCCATCCCATTATGTCTAAGTTGTTTTGGAAGCTTGACAGATGAAAGGAGGACAGCCCAACTGGAACACTGCACCATAAAGCAATTGTCTAAAGAGATGCAGAAGACAGTGCAACTGTAGGACAATTATGAATCCTTCATAATTGCCTATTATGGCAAAGTAAGCCCCAAGGGAGTGGCTGCTGCCATGCTGCTGCTCAGACACAGGCTCAAGTTCTCCAGAGAAAAACTCCCCACTTGGCACCCTGGCAGCATTTCCACAATGGGGATGCCAGAGCCAGCTTCCAGAGAAGGGCTGGGGAAGGGGACAGCTAGGTCAGGAGATGACAGAAATTGGCTTGCACTGGTTTTGGGGGGACAGACGCAAGAGATGAGTTTGAGCCAACCCTGGTTCTGCTCATTAACCTTCCAGGCAGATATAAACACTACAAAGGCTAGAAACAGAACACAAGGAATTAGAAAAAAGCTTGATCAACAAGTAGTATGAACATGGGTCAACAAATAGATAAATGCTTAGTGGGACACAGACTGGAAAATGGTAGGGGCTTTTGATGACATTGCATGTCTCAGGTCCCTTTTTTGTTGCTGAGAATTCCACAAAAAAAAAATCCCGGCCCCTTCCCTTCCTGCCCCCCTAAGTGTTCTCCAGATATATCCAGCTTTGACTAGCTTAACATTTCTTCAAAGAGCATCCATAGAACACAACTCAGCAGCAGGTTCTAAAGCAGCCAAATTTGATATCCAAGTCTACAAACAGTTTCAGTCTTTTGGTACAGCGGGGGCTATGGACCTTTTTGAACTACAGTATGTGGAAACATGACCATCTACTGTACTTGTTTTCAGAGCATCCCAGTTCACACAGGTCATCAGGAAGCGTGTATCACATCCCACAGTTGTTGGGCTCATCTTGAAGCACTTCACCAGATGGCAGCTCCGAAGCAAACCAGCTGAATTCATTTACTCCATGCCCATCCTTTCACAGCAATGCACTGATGCATATCCAAGTAGAGCTTGACATTTATTAATAGCTTCAAACGTTGACGCCAGAGAATTTGGGGATTGCTGCTAGTGAAGTTGTCAGATTTGCTTCCTAAGCAATCTAGAAAGTGCTATTACTGCCTGTTCAGCAGTCTGTAGTTTCACCAACTTTCTATCATTTACATGGAGAAACACATCTATTCCCATGTCAACGGATACATGTCAACAGTATTTTTGAAGGCAACAAAATAAGTCTCAGACCAACAAAACTATTCAGGTATAAATCCAATTTTAATTGTCAAGCTAACTTCTAGCTCCTACATTCAATGCAAGGATCAAAAACTACAAGTTTGAGAGTAGACGTTTATTCTATCCTCAGTTTCCGATTGTTTTGGCAGCTGTCAAAAGGTAACTTCCAAAATCCACTTGTTCCAGAAGCTTTTTACTACCTTGTGGTTCCAGGTGAACATCGTGGACTCTTAATAGCTATCAACATCTTTCAAACCCAGTTCTTTGGCAACAGTTATACATAGCATTGTGCGTATATAAAGAGCTTATAATAAAACTTTTTACATTCCAATTGTCTTAACCTTCACAGAAGTATTAAAGTGCTCAATCAACTCTGAACAAACTCTCCTTCCCTAGTTAGCCTACTTCCTGGAAACGCCTGCACTTAAGTCAGCAAAACCAGAAGTAACCAAGAAAACAAAAGGTACTTTTATGAAAAAAATCCTCTGCAGGATCATTACAATCCTTTATGAGACAAGAGGCCTCGAGTCTCACATCTCCCTTATACCCATATATTGAGACATGGGTCCAAATGTTCAACGAGTCTGAGTCAGCACAACTTCTTTTTCTGAGTTGTGCTTATTTCCCATCAGTTGATTCTTTGGCCCCTGACTTCTGTTGAAAGAAAACCCTGCAAAACAGAATCCTACTGATGCTACAAAGAAAATACAAACACTGAAGTCATACGGGTAAAGCAACAGCAATAAAAGATGCAAACAAGAGTTGTGATGGATATTTAACCCCTCCAAGCTATTTGGATTTTACATGATCTCAGTAGCAGCATTTGACACTTCCCAAAATCAATGTTTCCAAAGAGGCTTTAAATGGGGACATTTTTGGTCCTTCTAAGTGGGGGGATGGAGGGTACATAACAAAACTATTTCCTCCGGCAAGACCTGCATGCCAGTTCACCCCACCATGCTCTGTGCTGGAGGAAATTTCACCCAGTTCCTCTGCTTTTCCTCAAAGAGGACCAGAACCGTATTCCCTTGGGCACATCCTCTCCTTCCTCCAGTCACAGCATCCACAATGTGATTTAAACCAGCCCGCAGGGTGAATTCTTCCTGCCAAGAGCCAAGACACCAGAAATGCAACCCCAGGACACGTGCATTTAATAGCTTACTCAACCACAGGATGAGGCTTTTCATTCTACCTTTGGTTAAAGCTTTTGACATCTGTGGGAAAAGCGTGTTATTTAGACATCATCGAGCCTTTGCACTCCCTGCCTTACAACAGGTACTGAACTGTTTGCCGTCACCTGCTCTTATTCTGTTGACTGAAGATCAGACATACTTTTACCACCTCTGCATTTGCACTGCCCCAAAATCCTGTTTGCTGACCGTTTCGGCCCCTGTTTCTACCTGTAGACCTCAGTAACAGCGATTAGTGATCTCACCACAGAAATGACTCAAAAGCCAGGAAACACTGACGAGGACGGCCAGAAACTGCACTTGGATTTTAACTGCTGTGATGCCACTTATCAGACATGACACAAGTTACCCCTGCTGCCTCCAAGACTGACTGAAAGCCAAACGCACGGCATCACCTGCTTTGATGTACTGGGGTGGTCATCCTGACCCCAAGACTTCTCAGCAGTTCCACAAGAGGTGGTTGGTGCAACATGAAGGTCATGCTTTCAAGGTTACGTGACATCATTTTGTTTGCTAAGCTGAGGGCTTTTCCCTGCTTGGGGACATATAAACCATGGCCACGTTTTTGGGAACAACTCTTACTGCTCTCCTCCATCAAGTATCAATACAAAGATGAAGGGTTTCATAAGAAAATAAAAATTTAGTTTTCATACATGTTTTAAAGCCGTAGGCAGCTACATTAAGATGAAATACCATCCGATATTTAGTGCAAATACACCAAATCTTCAGTGAGTCTGGCTTAGTTTCAGCATAGGAGCTTTTTACCCAATTCCTTCCTCCCTCATTAGAGAATCCGTCTTCCTCATCATATTGAGGAACACCCTGTCAGTAGGGCACGTGTCGACAAAAACTGTACCACTTACCGGGCAAGCAATTGGTAAGAAACACTTCTCTGTGCTAATAATGTATTTGCATTTTATTTTATATGAATCCTCTTCCCTCATTTCTACTGCTTTGAAAGTTCATTATCTTCAGAGGTGCACATTTTTCTTAACGCTTTACCTGTGATCTGTAGTGTACAGCAAAGGGCAAGCACTGAACTAAAGGCAGCTTGTTTCACAGTACTCCAAATAAGAAAACTGACCACAGTACAAGCAAAATTAAATAAACTGAAATACAAAAGACAGCAGAAGTTAGATTCATCCAGAAATATAATATAATGTCTGGGAGTGGGGAAAACTGGAGATTAGCTACAAAACAGAAACAATGAAATGACCAACAAATATTGATTAGGTGGAAGAGGAAAACTTTCATTGCATGCTGTACATTAAAATTAAATGCAAAATTCACATGTTGGAGCATCAAGACAGAATGATGAAGGTCTCAAGCCATGGAAAGAAGAAAGCAAAGAAACACCTTGAATAAAGCAACAAATGAACAAAACCAGTAACTGAGCAGCTTCAAAAGGAAAAAGTGATTGTATCTCAAATAAGAAAAAGCAGCACTGAAGCAGAGAACAAAAATATGGTCAAGACATCACAGGTAACACTGACCGCACAGAACACTTTTGATATTTTGAAAGAATCAGGCCTATTTGTATACTTATGCAAAATATATACACAAATCCATATGTATATATGTACACATAGGCACTACTGTACATATGTATATGCAATCGTTAACACAACTGCCCTTTGATAAATTTCAGCATCTGACTCTGGGTGCAAGCAAGAACATTGCAGTTGTGCAAAACTACATTTCTGTGTTTGATTACCGAGAAGTAATGGTAGAAATATCCAAAATAACTCCCAAATAGCTTAGACCCAGATGTGGTTTCATCAACACCGCCATGCAAGCCCAACCTCTGAATAGTTCCAGCTCATTTGTAGGAATTAAATATTCAAAGCTGTGGGTTGTATCAGTACAAATTATATCTGTTTCCAACCCTGCTGGATCTGAAGAGATGGCCAGACATCCCTCCTGACATAAGTGGTTTAGCATGAGGCCCTCCCACTCAGAATACCAGCTTGGGAATATTGGATGCATGAGAAATCAAATTCAAAGGCCAGAACAGGACATTTTGCAAAAGAAGCGTCAGCTGCTGTCCTTACAGTGTTTTGGAAGAAAGGGACATGGTGCATAAAAAACCGAAGAGATTCCCCCCAACCCTCAAACAAAGGAACACATGACAACTCTGAGAACACATGCTCCAGCTGTACGGACAAGCTGGTCTTTGGGGTTTCCAGTTTTGGGATGTGGAAAGTAGGACTTTCCATAAAGCTTGCTTGCCTCACAGCTCCAAAGAGAATTGGCCTCCCAAGTCCAAGGCTGGTTTGGTCTGACACTTCAACGCTCAATTGGTCTTGATATGTGTGCATTACCAATGCCATATTAGAGCAGAAAGAAAGTGGTGAAAGAAAGAACTGCAGATAGATTGTTCTACACCTCGGCAAAGCTGCCTTCCAACTCCAAAAGAGATGCCCTCGCTGCTCCGTGTGTGGAGGATCCCGTTTAATGCTCTGCATCCATAGCATCCAAGTACTTGGCTTCGATGATCCTTGGGAGCAGGTTATACCTAAGATTGAACCAGAGATTGAACCATTAATGCTTGTTTATAGTCATGTAACGTTTTGTTTGTCTTAAGACTCTCAGTTGAGTTTTTCCATAGCCATGCACACAGATTCACCCAGCTGAAGGGGAGATTAAGTGTTGGAAAGTAAAAAGAACCAATCCTGCAAGAAAATACAGCATTTATAGGAATAACAGTGCAGGGTTCCTCCTGGAAGAAGCCTTCTCATTTCAGTTCAAGAGGAAAGAGAACATCCTCACCCTCACAAAGTCTCTTTCCTAGAGCACTCTGTCACCACAAAGTCTTCAAGGTGCCAAAAATGTGCTGTGTCACCCAACCCACAGCCACACTCCTGGTTTGTCCTGGGAAGGCAGGTAGCAGGCTTCCTGCTGCCTTCAGTTTGCTAGTGGATGTGTTACTTTGCCAAGAATTACTATTTATTTCTGATTTCTACTTTACCACTTTCCCTATTGTGGGAACATCGACTCAAATACCTGCATTTCAAGAGTTATTTGTACTGCACTTCCTCAGTTCTCCAAGCATCCCAGGTCACTCCTTTCAGCTCTCACCGCAAAGAAACTTTAATAGACAACCCAAAAGCTTTGGTCTTCTGAGAAACACCGAATCTACCAGCAAGAATTGAGACCACCGCAAGGAGCTCAGAAGTGCTATGACATTCCTTCCTCCAGCTGCTAGTAAGATTCCATCCCTAGCTGCTGTCTCGGTTCTGCATTGGATCATGGAGACAGTGATTCCCTTACTGTGGGAGTTTGGTTTTTTTCATCTGTCTGTTTGCAAAAACATCCTCATGAATTTACGTATTTGGGTGAGAAAGGCACAGCACTATAGCAATGTGCTACGAAGTTGCTCTCATTAAATCCTACTGCATATTTAGTTTGACACTTTTCCCTGCTTAACAAGGAAGCTATTCTTCAGCTGTTAAAATAAGGCACAAGGCACTAGGAAACCAGTTTAAGAGTTGGAAGGTCCTTTTCAATAGCAATGCAAGAGATCTCAAACAGCACTTACTACTGAGAAGTACCAGAATCTGCTTAAATAGACCTGTCATGAAATAAAATGTTACAGAGCTGCAGGAGCAGAGATAAGCATCACAGAGAACTTGGAAAGAAGATTCTTCCTCTCTGAGCAACTGAAAACTAGTCATTCCAAAGTTTTGAATCAAAGCCAGGAACTGGGGATACCCAAAGAGATCACATTTTCTCCCAGCAGGCTGTTCTCTACTGCAATAATGAGAAGCCATTGAAATCCATTATCTTTCACATTAACACTACACCAGCAGAAAATGATGGTCCCTCACCGCTGACAATGCAAATCATGCATCTAATGCTGTTGGACAGATGGAAATGTGGCTTTGAGACAGACAAGTATCATGGCTGGTTTTCTGGATGGAACACTGAGCCATGACTCACTCATCTGGGTTTGATTCTTGACTTTGACCCCTGGCCGGTGTCCCATCTCCTCTTCCTCCCTTCACTTCTTAAAAAAAGAGAAAATATATTTCATTTCTCCTATTCTGTCTCATCTATTTAGAGTGCCAAATTTTTCTGAAAAAGTCATTGTTAACTACAGAGCTCATGCATCATGGTGCTGCTTTCTCGGCTGGAGTCCACAGAAACTACATGAAGGCAAAAGAAATCAGAGAAAGGAAAGTCAAAGGCAAATTTCTGTGTTGAGCCAAGTAACACCATCTTCCCCTTAGCAGCAGGGCTGATTATCCAGCTACTGAAAAAGCTGCTCTGGAAAAATAAATGAGTTCCCAACAGATCTAGTATAAAAATCACAGTATCTTATTTACTCAAAAGAAGATTTATTTGCACCACCAAATTATCTATCTTTCATTGCAAAATCAGGTTCTTTGACAGCACTCTCTCCATGCTACTTTAGCTTATTACACTGTGTCCAATACTTGAATGTTTGGCAAAGAGTGTCCCGCATTTTCTTCTCTGTACTGAGCTGCTCTGTGCACAGACTTGCAATTCCCACAAGAGTCAATCATCCAGCTCTGCACACAGTTGAAGTATTTACCAGCCACTTAGCCTGTCATCCAAAGTGACGTCTATGTAAAGGGTGGGTGAGAGACTCTTACCATAGGAACAATCATTTCAGTGTTTTCCAAGATTTTGTTTATCTTTAAAAATCCAGTCCAAATAGCTCTAACTTGATCCTGCTGAAAGTTGTGGTAGTTTTGACATTTACTTTTGTTTTAGAAAAAAAACTGGACCCATCTTTATCACCCAAGGAAAACACTACAATATCTGCCTTTGCAGATTATCACATCGGTAGCCCTGAAACTTTGAGATCAGACAGAAAATCTGAGACTGCCAGCTCAAAGACAACCAGATATTGCTGGATACCACACTGGCCTAAAAATAATCAAGTGAACTGGAAACAGATCTCCTCCTTTTAAGATCTTATTATGGCTTCTTATTATATCCAAAGGATGGGGAGCATGAATGATTTAACTGGAGAATGATGGACAGTCACTGTTAATGAACACTAAGGAAGAAATTAGGTAAATTTCTCAGTGATTCTCTCTGAAGACCACAATATATTGTGGGCTCCTCCCAGTTTTAAAGATACATTTTAAGACTAAATATGGCCAGTTCAGCCTAATTGATCATTGACACTGGCATCCAGCAGTGCAGGAGGTCTGTAAGGTCACCACAGCAGAGCACTAGCTAAGAGATAAGTATTCCTCTTAGGAAAAGTTTCTAGCTCTGCTCTAAGCACAGGCCTTCGGAACTCAAATTGCAAAGCAACAAGAACTTTATCAACCAGCACCTAGAAGGCAGGCTCAGACTACAGCTTCTCAGAAAGATCAGGCATCTCACAAATTGCAAAAGGAGACTTATTTGCCTCTCAACTAACTGAAAGAATACCTGCCAGCCCAGAACCCTTTGCAGTTAAATCACAGACTCTCTGCACCATTTCTCCTCAAGCTTGAGCAGCTGGTGAAAAAGAGGTCATCATCACCCAATTGCAGGATCTGGCTACTCAAGAAAGCCCTGGCTGTCCTTCTAGACCACTCAAACTTCCCGCAATCCAAGTCTGAAGCTCTGTAGGTAAAAGACACACACACAAAAAAAAGCAGCCAAGCTTCATACCTGATTGGGATCATCCCTATCATGATGAGTGGGAAGATCATCTTCATGTAGGGCAATGGTGACATGCCAAAACCACAGAGGATGAGGAGCTGTAGGACTTGCAAGCCTGTGAAATAGTGGATCTTCCTCTGGGGCACTCTGCGGATGTAATGTGTTGGAGGATAAGCAGTCTGGGAAGAGAAGAATTACACGTTAGATATGCAGTGACCTGGACTTGTGACTGCAGAATGTGGCACAGGCTTTTGAACACAAGGGTTTTAAGGAAGTCATCAATTTACAAACAAACACACAGAGTGCATCAACATCAGTCTTAAAGAAGTTCAAAAGCTGAATACAGAATTTGTAGGGTTAAAGCAAATGCCTAAAACCACAGCATTGGCAGTAACACACAGAAGATGACTGGGCACTAGAAACCTGGGGAAGACAAGACACACCACACAGCTAAGATTGCCTTTGGGAGCATCTGGAGTGCAATAAAATATCTTGATAAGTACAGTAATGAGATTCCTCTGAGTAGGATTATCAGGGCTTTGCAGCAACATGTGAAGTGTCTGTGGGGGTGTGCAGGGGAGTGATGGTAAGCAGATGTGGGGGGTGTTCCTGCTGGATGGTTTCTCCACCTGAAATCCAGCTCCTTAAGATTTTTCACAGCCTTCTGTCCTCTGCTGATCAGACTCCATGCTTGCCCCTGCTGGTCCCATTTCTTGGCTGAACCCCGGTAGAGGAATACCAGGAGACAAGACCAGGGAGGTGCGAGAAGAGGCTGCATTCAGACTGCAGTGATTTTCTCAACTCATATAAGCTATTCATTTTTGAGAAAGAAGAGCGGGAAGTGACATTAATAGGCTAAATATTGCTCGTGGTTTCTTTTGACAGTTACTTGCTCATGTCTGAGTACAGGCTTTGACTCACTGTCTATACATCAATGAAGAGTATGAGCGACTGTCTGCTGGCACCGATACAGACTCAATGGATTTCAGATTGTGCCATGACTCATTAAAAGGTTTCCAGAAAAGGGAAATCTCTGTATTTGAGAATACTTTTTAATTTTCCAAGCAGAAGCTTGGAAAATTCCACACATAATTTGTATTAGAAACAGAAGTAATATTCCACGTAGATCAGTAACTATTCAATCCTGATTAAAAAAATTGACACGACAAATGTAATCGTTACCTGGATTTCACAGTTTTAACCTCTGTGATGTAATATTAGAGATTGAGATAGATTGGCAGGGATGCAGAGCCAAATGTTGGGCTTATTAAGCCCTTGACCCTTGTTACTAAGAGAAGGTGAGCTGGAGATTCATTACTGTTCCAGGTACCGCCTACGCTGCAAGCTAACACATTCTTAGCACTTGTAATAGAGACAGCTTGAAAACAGATCTTCTAGATTTGTTTTCACCCCACATCAGAAAGGTTTCAATGATGCAAGTAATTTCATTTTGAGTTTAAAATCCTATCTTGTGGCATTTCACACAAGTCAAAATGAAAGTGTGAGTTACAGCAAAAAAATTACCTGTTCTGAATCTTTGTTGGGGAAATCAAAAGATCACCATCTGCTGACATTATGTATGTGCTTTTTAATATTTTATTGAATGCATGTCATGCTGACATGCCACCACAGTTGGTTTTTTAAAACTTACAAACCCTACATTCAGTGAGCAACAGTTTGTGTGATTGCTTTTTTTTTTTAAAGGCATTGTTTGAATTGTATTTTTGGTTTGCACTCTACACAGTTTAGAAAGTGTCTTCACTGGTAGCAGCTACCCTGGCTCCATCGATGCACTTGTCTTTGCCTCTGGAGAACTGGTCTCCAGAGCAATTCTTAGCAGACTGAAAAAAGCAGGATTATATTCAAGACATTGCTCTGAAAAAGAAGCTAAAATGCTTTTGTGGCAGGGAAATGCTCCGCAATTTATGCACAACTTGAGAGACAGACAAGATGCACTGCAATTTTATGAACAATTTAGCTACCACCTTTTTTTTTTAACCCAACAATAACCGTGCCACTTTTGTTGTTTGACACTGCATTATTCTCCCACTCATCTGTCCGCATTAATGGCAAAGATTTCTCATGCTCATGTCTCAGTGGCAGCCAGGCTAAACTACAGATACCAAGTTTCACTCCCTCTTTGCATAGAAAGGTGAAACAGATATGCAAAGTGTGGGTTGCAGCTGGAAACCAGCCTCCCGAGAACATGAGTTTTAGGGGTAACCCCATTCCCAACACCAGCAGCTTTACATGTTAGCTCCTGGCACGGTTTTGTGCTAAGGCCGTAAATAAAATTTCCTTCTCTTTTCCACCAGGCTGGTGCCCGGGTTTACGTACCTGTTCTTTAAGCAGGAGAGCCACCCTTTCAAAGAGCTGGTTTCCATCAATGGAGGTCAATGCAATGTAGAGGAAGAGGCCATAGAGGACTGGCTTTGGGATCCACTGGAGAGGGAACGGGAGGAGCAGGAGTGAGAGGCCAACCAAGAAGTTTGCCACTAGACTTGTCAGCCGGGTCTCCTTCACACTCACAATCCTGGAAGCAACAAAACAGGGATTAGGAGAGTAAGGATAATATCCCAGCATCCATGTAAGCTTATCGCTGGGGCTCACTGGTCCATGTAGGTGCAGGACACGTGCTGCTCAGGAAAGGGAAACTCATCTCCACTGCACTGAGATCAGCACTTCTGGCCCCGTGCTGATACTGAGAAGGCAGAGCTCTGCTGGATCCAGGCCAGGCACTTAATCCACAGCTCAAACACAGCAGCTGGAAAAATGCCAAATTCCCCTTCTGCAAAGCTCCACAGATCCTATCCTGAACTAAATTGCCCTCTAAACTAATTCTGTTTAGCACATTGCAAAAAAAAAAAAAAAAAAACCACCCAAAAAAAACCCAGGCAAGAATCCTGTTTCTGGACAGTAATCCTTTCCTTGATTTACCCAGCGCATATGCAGTTGGCTTCAATCCAAAAGAAAACTCATTCACTTCTATGGGAACTAATGAACCTCTTATAAAAAAAAAAGTCTGCACTCTTGACTTCGAGTCAGCGTTTTTGATGTATATGAGGATCTCCTTGTTTATATGGAGGGGAATGCTGAGAGCACTACGCAGGGAGATAGCAATTGAATTCTGCTGTGGATAATAGCAGTTGCACTGCAAATTGCCTATTACCATGCAAAACATGCAATTAATTAATGCAAATTTTCCAGAGTTGACAGACCACAGACTTTTTTTTTATGGGTGAAAAAAGGACTGTCAGGAAAGCATGCAGCAACTTTCAGAGCCTACTTGGGGAGTGAGGGGAGGTTGCTTTTTCTTTTGCCTTCAGTTAAACCTGTGAGCATCTCCTAGTTTGAAAAAAAACCCAAAGTACCAGAAACAATAGGAGGAAAGAAAACCCTCATCTTTCAAGAGTACTTCTAAGTAGAGAAGAGGGGGATTCTTAATGTAATTTCTTTTTTTTGAGAAGATAAATCCACCAATTCAGTGGATAAGCTAGTGAGTAAATCCCCGTTACCAGGAGAAATTCTTGTCCACAGGCTGTTTTGGTGTCATTTAGTGGCTTCATTCCCTGGATGTGAGATGTAATATTCTGAATTAACCCTGTACATAAAATACTCTGAGGATCAACACAAAAGACAACCATAAATTCTATAAAAACACATCTCCCCCTTTTACATATGCACTACTGGGACTTCCTAATCCCGTCAGGCCTAAAGAAGACTTTTTCAGTCAATTTTTCAATATTAAGTTTTTGAGAGTCTTGCTTATAAAGTAAGGTCAGGTTGAACTTCAAATCTGTTTATACATTGAAGAGCACAATGAAGCTGTGGGGATGACAGAGCCTTCCACACCTGTATTTAGAGAGAGAGGAAAGGATAACCGCCTAAGGCTTGCTCTCAGGATTTGGCAGAATTAACATGAGTGGTCACAAGACCTAAGGAACAACAGATACCACAGAGAGTGCACAAAGTCCTGAGGACAACACTTGTATTCCTTGGTGAATAATGGGGCAGATCATATATATTATCTAGGATTACTAAGAGAGGATGCACAGAAGAGCAACAGGAGGTGTTAACCTCTAAGTAACCTCCCCATTTCCCTGGCTAGGTTTAACCAGCAGAAACCACAGATTTCCTCCTTCCAAACAGATTTTGGTCAGATCTTCTTGCAAGTCACCTATGTCAAGAGGTCCCTGCCAATGCCTAGAGAAGCCAAGAGAGAGTAGAGCACTTCTCTCCATTATCTGCATACTGCTCTTGCCTGCTCTGGAAGAACTGAGACATCATCTAGGTGGATATAGTTTGGCATCCTTTCCATTGCCTCCAGGACTGGATCACCACAGAAGGCCTTAGAGATGAACAGAGCCAAGCAGCTTAAAGTGCAACTGCGAGTGCTAATTCAGAGTAATTTGATAATCCGATAAGGAGTGGTCACACTACTTCAGAGCTACCAGACCCACCCCAGGCCTCTCAAGTGGCTCAGTAAAGCAGGAGTAAAGGATGCACTGATTTAGCCTCATCCAGGTGTAGCAGGAGTTCCCTTGGCTTTGTCATTGGGCAAGCTACAAAGGCTACTTCAGGCAAAGATCTAACCCACTGCTGGGGATGCTCATGACCTGCAAGCATCAGTCTGAGCATGCACAAGTCTTCTTGCAAGTTCCTTGCAAGTGAAGTCATGAAAACCAAAGAGCTCAGGATCAAAATTAGATGTGGAGCTACCACATTTCAATCAGATGCAAGTCTGCAAGTACAGAACAGCTCAGAGTAGCAGCCCTTTGGTAATAGATTTTTGAAGTTCATGAAACATTCTGCTGTCATCTATTGGGGATGCAGCAATATCACAACACTGAAGAGGGTTTAATTACATACAAGATGTACTGCAACTACTACTGCCAGCTCCTGCTAATGCCACTTATTAAAACAGTTTGGAATTTTTTGTCAGAACATAGTTAAAATAGCTCATAATTTAGCAAACATGAGGTCTTTAAAAGCTGAAGTTCCCAGCCTCAATTTGTTCTCCTGCCCATTTTAGCACCTCTCTTATTTCCAGGATAAGGAAATCACAGTCACAACAAATCAACAGAAGAAACCCTGTATTTTCCATGTGTTCAGAAACTGGTTTGGCCCTTGAAGAAACAACTCCAAAAGGTCCATGCTCTGATGGAAGTGAAGTAATTAATGGAGATTAAATAGTGTAACCCAGGCTCATTTCCCCCGAATCCTTTAAATACAGCTAGCATGGGATTAGCCATCCCTGACCTCCTCCATATGAGTACTGAGAGCCTACTTGCATGTTGCCACATGAAACTCAAGTGGTTACTTTACAGGGGAGAAGAAAATTTTGCTTTCATTGTGACAGATCTTTATGCTTGTTTATATCATCATCCTCACTGAGAGCTTTGATTCGAGTGCAGGAAAGGTGCCTGCCAAAGGAGACAGTGCTGAAAGAACTCCTGATTTTCTAATTGAGTTTGAGTATGTTTCTTTTTCAGCAGAGCAGGCTAAGAGGGGAAAAAAGAAGAAAAAAAAAACAGATGTCAACATTGCTCAGAGCCTCCTGTTTATAGCTCAATTACTTTGCAGAGAACAAAAAGCTTCAGTCTCAAAGGGAGTTCAAATAACTAGGAAATCCTCGTTCCCCTTTTCCCTCCATTATATGCATTTTACAGCACTCATTTACATACCAATTAGCCTCCAGCAAAGAGCTGGAGGAAGAGCTGTGCCATGAGGGAACATGCTTAGTGAGATTAGGGCATCCCTATCCCTCAAGCCCTTTCAGGATAATCACTGTAGCCATACTTAAGTTAACATGGCCAAAGAGGGCTCTCTGATGCTCTTTTTGGCCAGCTGGGTGAAGAAGCAGAGGACAAGGGCAGAAGGCAGTCGTTAATTCAGGCAGGGGCAGACCTTATCAAGAAGCCAGAATGGAGAATCAGGACAGTGGGTGGCAAAACAGGAAAAAAGCCACCAGGTATTCAAACTGGCAACAGAAGGCACAGGAAGGAGGCTTGGCACATGAGGTTCAAAGTGTATGTTCTGCATCTCACAAAGATATGGAGAGCAGAGGTGTCTCGGAGCAGATCATGGACACGAGGAGCAAGGGCATGGATTAAAACTCTAAAGAACTCAAATTGCAAAGTTGCTTTTCTTTGAAATAGGATTTAGTATTTATTTAAGACATATAGTTGTGGTAACAACTAACGCCAACACATACTAATGGAGACATATAGTTGAGGTAACAACTAACGCCAACACATACTAATGGGAATATGAATCCAAGGGGCTAATTTCTCAGTAAAGGTCTGTAAAAGCATTGCAGGGAACAGCAGGACTCAGCGAATTCCAGATGTGGAAGGTAAAATCTGTCCATCACTGACCCAAAAAGCAGCTGTACCAGGTTGGGCTGGGCCAGCTGGCACCAAAACCAGCATGAAAGTGAGACTGAAATTAAAAGACAGACCCACTCCGTCCTCCAAAGTAAATGACTGCCACTTATCAAAAGTGAGGCTAAGCAACTCTGAAAATGGAAACCAAGACAGGATAATTAAAACTAATGGCATGTAAGTGGAAATTACCACTTCTGAGGTAAAAGCACTCAACTGTAACATACTGAGATCAAACAGACCATATAATCTCTATTTTGGAGCAGGTATCATGAGAAATGACGGTTTTAATTTATTATTTTTTTTTAAATAGCTCTCTCATAAGAGTGTGTTGGAAAACTCAGAACAGCAAAAAGCTAGTCTTAAATACAAAGCCATGACCTGGGCATTGCTCCACAGTTGCTTTTGCTTAAAAACAAGAGAATTTAATAGGCATCACGTCTTCCCAAAACATGTCGGAAGATGTTATGGGAGCTCTGAAATAATGCTGCATTTTTCCTACCCTTTGTAATAATCACCAGATGGGTTTCAGGCAATGAATCAGACTGGATTTTTTCTGGTGAAGACATCTGGAAAGATCTGGCCTAAGCATCTCCTCAGCTTTCCATAAGCATAAACCTGAAAAAGGCCTTGTCCTCCAGAAGAGTCAGCCAATGTACATTGTAGCAGGTGGAATTCCTGCAAGCTGCTGTCAGCCACTGATGAGAGCATAAATTTGTGTCTGTCCTAAAACAAGCAATTTCCTGCAGGGGGAAGAAGTGGGGGCCTTGTTTGGTGCATCCCTCCTCCACCTTCATATATTGCAGGTCTTCAAGAAGACAGCTAGCTCCCCAGCCACCATACCCAAAGGATGGGGAAACCACAGATGAAACCAAATAGATCCAAGACAACTCCACAGTTCCTACTTACGTCTCATAGATGTGTCCATTTTCAACCCTCTCCTCCACATAGGCCAGGGCGCGGACATGCATTGGGGAGTGAGGGAAGGCAGCATGGATCCATGGGAGGCCAAAGATTGACAAACCCGTGTTAATCAGAGCAACGAGGAGGAGGTCCCAGTGATAGGCTGTTCCCTTCACCAACCTGAAACAAGGATTTTTTTGACAGCAGTTACACCCAGTGCAAACTATAACAGGCTGCTCTTGCTGAACCTGAATTTGAATGCTAAACACCAAAATACACTTCCACACACAGAGCAATTTCATGCTTCTGCTTTACAGCCCGTGTTACATGCACATGAAAGGTAATGAAACTTGATAGTTTGCTCCCAAAGCAGTCATCTCCTGTGAAGAACAATGCTGAATAGGAAGGAAACCCACTAAAATAACAGCACATGAAAATTTCATCAGTTTTGCCACTACATTTATTGGAGAGTCCACTCAAAATGTACATATGTATCTCCTAGCAGAGTCCACCTGGAGAGTGGTTGGAAACCTGGGCATGGGTTGCCAAACTACTGCCACTGAGTTTCCCACCCATCTTGTTTTTAACCCTGATCTCCCTCTTTCCCCATGAACAGAACACAGGCTTGGTATGCTGCAGTAATCCCCTAATTATGTAACTGCTACTGCATGGTAAGAAAACGGGACATGAATTCATTAAGCTTCAACTCCTCCTTAGCAGTCAACCAAGGAGATGTGCTCCTAACTTTGGTGAATGCAGGGTAGCCACCCCATTTTGTTTCTTAGGGGATGGAGAAACTGGCAGCCTTCACCAAGGAAACTGACCACTTCACACCTGCACTACTAACACTGAACCCGCATCTAGTTTAACCTTGTGATTTTTTGCAAGGTCTGCCCCTTTCCTGAATATACCCATCTGGTACCAACTACTCAGATGCCACAAATAAAGTTTAGAAAAGGGCTGGGGAAGGATTCAAGTCTCAGACTTAAATACCTAGCTTAAGGTCTAGAGCTGTGTTTCTGCCTGGGCATGGGAGCAGTCAGCAGTGTTCATCCTGACACAACACAAGGAATCAGCTGAACTGCTTGCCGGGCACCATCAACTAGAAGGGGAGCACCATTTAGGTGTCTTAATGCCACTCAAGCAAGCTCTGCTCACACCTTAAGCAGACACTTGGAGCCATCAGAGATGCTCTAGGACATGAGGTCTACTAGCTCCATGCACACGAAGATCTATGCCTAATGTCTGTTTCAAAGAGCAGCATATGCCATTGTCTGGGCAGCAGAAATCCTGGGTGGGGTCCAGTTTTGAAACAAAAAGGCTTGTCCCACTGGAAGTGCTCACCTCCATTGCCTGAAGAGGCCACGGGGTGACTAGGTCAGGTAGATGTCTACATTGCAATGCCTCTGAAGCTGGAAAGTGCTAGCGGGAAGGGTGGGACTGTAAACACGCTTCCTGTCTTGGCTCACACTTTGACAGCATGAGCATGGTCCCTGCTCATGTGCTGCTTTCTCAGAGCTAAGGCATCTCCAGCATCCCCAGGGTTATCATTTGATTGTCCTGCCTGCCCTTTTCAGAGGGCTTTCTGTGTACAAAGGCCATACATCTAATAGCAGCATCATTTTAGTCCCCTTGGGATACTGGTCTCAGCACTCCTTTTGCAGCACTGTGTGTGGTATACAGCTGCTTTGACCAGTCCAGAGGCTCCACTGAGCTTGTCTAGCTTAATGCACATACACATCTAGACACCTTATCCTATGTTATCTTCACACCGCCTGCCCAGCCAGCCCAGTATTCCTTGGACTGTCCTATATGCTTGCTTTGATTATTCTTTAGCAAAGAACATCAGTGTACTTTCAGGCAAGCATAATCTTTTCCCTGGTTTTTTTCTGCAGGAGGAAGTCACTACATTTAGTACATCATCAAACAGTACATTCCTCCATTTGGCTGGCATAGACGAGGCTATTTTTATTCTGTGATGGTACCACAAACAGGAGGCATCAAGTCCTAGTTTGTCCGTCTCTAAAAACCCATGCCCTGATACCTGATCAGCATAAGCTCAGCCCTGTAATAAGGCATTATGAAAACCACTGAGAACTCCAAAGAATATTTTACATTCCTTAAAGACACTCCAGTGGAAAACACCAAAAGTTTAGAAGAAACTCATCCTAGGAAAGTGATGACCCACTTACATTGCAGATTTATGCAACACTTAAAGGGATATAATAAAGATAAGAGGAAAAAATCAAGTGGTCAAAGAAAACCAAATTAGTATAACTGAATCTGAGCTTGTCTTCTCTTCCCTGTCATTCCAGCTGCAACATGGAGAATGCTAATGAATGTTATGCAAGGAGAGAACCCTCCCACGCATTACATTAGCAAAAAATCTTCTGAGACATGGTAGTTTCCCTATGAAAAAAAAGTCATACACATTCACTCTTGATATCATAACTGATTGCAGTTGGCACAAAAACATCAGAGGGAATATTTTAATAGTGCAACATCTCGACTCAAGCTTGCAGATAAATCAGATATTAGATATACTGTTTTGCTTCATTTCCACCTTTTCAGTTGGAAACTAGCAGCTCCAAGCACTTCTTTTCTGATGCTCAACTGCAGCATATCATGATACAACATTTATACAGGTCATTGACTTTTTGTTTTCAAAAAATTCTCTATACTGCAACAGCAGTGCAAGAGCACCATGTGTCAGACTCCCTACATTTCTAGCGGTACATCCACTGACTGACCTCAAACCACACAAAATACCTATGTAACATTCACACATAGGCAAACAAGAAACAGGCTGAGCTGATGAGCTTGTTGATGCTTTGTGTTTTTGACTCACTGCCATGACACTGGGCTTTGGGGATGGCGAGGAGTTAAGCAGTAGAGTTAATTTCATCTGTGACAGCAGAAGCTCTGAAGAATGCGTGCTCAATATCTTTTCTGATATTGAGACAAGCAGTGCTGGGAAAAGACTCAAGGAGAAAGACTCCACAGAGAAAGAGTTGCACCAAAAGTATTACCTGTTCTCCGGGGCATTTGTGAGCGATGCCACGATGTTCTGCTCTATGAAGAAGAGCATTGACAGTAGGAATCCCAGCCCCATGGCGCTCATCACTGATCCGATGGACAGGGACTGGACTGGAGCCAGCACGAACAAGCTCTTAGATGGGTTGTAGTTAAATTTGGACACTAGAAAGAGGAAGGGAATGATGTTAGGAGGCACCTTCTTGTCCAACCATCCACAAGGACTCAAATAATGTTTTACCCACACCACGAATGACTGGGATCCAATGCAACAACCCAGGCGTGATGCTCTGGCATGCAAGAGCCAGAAGGCCATAGAAGACAGGCACATGTAGCTGGTTTAGTTTATTTTTTTCCTCCATCCTCTTAGAACTTGGCTGCCATCCTGATTTGACAGATTACTGCTAGTTCTAGTGAAGCATTGCATGTATTTGAGCAAAACAAAAAAGAGTGGAACTTGTTTTCCACAGATGCAAGGCATTTTTAGATTAGAAAACCTTATTTCTAACTAGTGGTATACTCCTCCTGCTCAGTTAATCAACTGACAGAGGCATTTTAAAACTTTCTCATATCCAAGAAGCTGCACAAGGCATTTTAGTATAATGCCTTTTAGTATAAAATGCTCCTACTTTCCTGCCATTGGAAGCAATCCATGACTAGGAATAAATCACACATGGCCACACATCATTTTGCAATCCAACTGGATGGAATGGCCATCACAGTAAAAAGCCATTTCTTATTTGTTTCCATACATTTCCTCACATCACCCACTCACGTCATCACAGGACAATGCAATTCCTGTCCCCATTATCGCTTCCTGATATGGAAAAGCTGATCTATTTGGCCAATGAATGGTGTCTCATTTTTAGATTTCCTTGTATAACTTAGAACTGCCCAGATGCTCCGCACCATTTCACCTAAATTAGGAAAACGTAAAGTGAAGACAAAGAGGACAGAGCAGGATCATCAACTCTACGTCTGTATGACTGGCAACAACCCTTCCTGCCTGCTAATTACCCTGCTCTTTGTTCTTTGCCAGAAATTGTTGATCCTCTTTATTGTAAGAGATACATACTTAAAACCACAGTGAAATGAAAAGACACACTGGAATAATTTATCTAAAGAAAAAGCTTCGCTCAGCCTCATTTGATTAAAGGTTTAATTCTAACATTGAGGAAATCTGAGCTGTTGGGGTGGTGGGAGGTACATGAAGTATTTGTGAAATTATATAGAATAATTTTGCTATTTCTCAACAAAACCTTCCTAGAATTTAATTTCTTTTTCATACACCCTAAATAGCTTCCTCCAGTATTCCAGAGAATAAAATATATAACTTACTTTCGATTTCCTTGAAGATATAGGAACCCACAACAGAGAAAGTCAGAACTGAAATCGGTAAGGCACAGTCGGACAGAATTTCACGTACTCTTGCATGCAAATATGGGCTGCAGTTTAAAGACAGAAAATTTCCATCAACACCACACTGTAGGGACAATAGCTCAATCCAGATAGCAACAATGCTTTAAACAAGCGACAATTCAGTCCAATCTTGCAATTCTAAAGAGATACTTGTAGTGAAGAATTAGTCTTTAATTCAGCATTAAATCCTCTGGAACCTATAGCCTCTGAAGATGGAAGAATGCATAAGCAAAACCCATAAAGAACAAGAAACTAAGATGCAAACTAGAAAAAGAGCACCAATTTGTATCCCTTTTCCACTTTTGAAATGCTTGAGTAAGCATTTAAACTAACAATGGGTTTTAAGGGCAATGGGATTAAACCCCAAATTAGAGCTGGGAATTTCACTGCCGAAAGCACATTGAAGGCACATTCCCTGTAGACCTTCCAGCACCATCAGGGATTTTTGCCCACCAAAACGGTCCAATACCTATTTGGGGGGAATTACAAAAGTTCCAACATGCAATACATGGCTCACCCAAAGGTTTCTAAAAAGTCACTTACAACGCCAAACCAAATACGGAAGAGCATCATCCAGTGACCAAACATTTTGTTCTGCTGCTAACATTTTCCAGGTGGCCAGCCAAGTTCATCTCTGGCTTTGGCTTCCACCACCACTAATGGAAGAGTTCCATCTGATTTTTCTGGATTACAAAACTGAGATCTAAACCATTAGAGATTCCTCACAGGTAACATGAAAAAAAATCAGTAGTCTGAGCTCTAAGACTGAAGTAACTCACCTTTTCTTAAACTGATAGAGCGTATGACCAAGCCAAAGGGTACCCAACATCAACATGAGACTAAGGACGGCAGTTTCACGTCCATAATGCACATCATGCGTGCCTGTTTGATTCTCTAGGGACATGGATCTGCTCACTGATGAATTCATCAAGAAGGTGGTATTGATGCCGAGGCCTGGAATAGCATCAGTTCGTGCTTTTTCAAAGTAACTGTCTCCTGTGCGCCCATGGTAGTAATATTTCTTAAAAACTGTATAAACAACCAACAGGCAAGCATTAGGACAGGTTTGTGACAATCAAAGCAAGTAAAATAAAGTGGTTCTTTCTTGCTTGATCATGCAGTAGTAACGTTATGCTTCACCAGGTTTATAGCTCTACCCCTCAAACCAGTGAAAAGAACTCAAGAGAGCTGCTTCTCTTATGAAGCCAGTGCTTTATAAATTTATTTTTCACTTAACAGGCAAAAGTTGAAATGATCTAAAGCAACACATTTGAACTGTAAGGACTTCCAGTGATGATTATTTATGCGATTTCATTCCCGACACTGAAATCACTGCTCTTTATACACGTATATAGACATCTACTTTAAGCAGCCTGGGAAACAAATCCCATTAGGATCTGAAAAAGTTAAGAGAAGCCAGGCTGCACAGATCCTTAAGTGTGCTACAAAGTGTACTGTAATTACTTTTCCTCCAACGCTGGTCCAGATTTTAATGATAAGTGTTGACGATATGCAAAACTTGGCAGAACATTTAAATTTACACTGCAAACTGAAATAGTGTTATAGAGCATCTGAAATAAACCTGTACAAGTGAAACACCCTGTGATGCCTCTGGAACTGTCCATAATTCTATATGGTCAGCTCAGAGACATTTATATAATTAAGAGTTGTAAATATATTCTTGCTCTTGAGCATTTAGACAGCTGTGTTCCACTTTCTATGGCATTTGCTGGCTCCAAGCATATAAACGTGGTTTTGGGATGATACCACCTCTTTGGGGAACAAGAGCATGAGGTGCCACAAGGAACAAGTGAAACAGGAAGACGGGAGTTGGGCTTTGCAGCCTTGGTACTCCCATGTTATGTGATCAGATGGCAGCAGGCAGTACCAGCTCTCCTTCATACCAACGGGAAGATATAAGACAACGGAAACCACTATGTCAGCTCCCGTACTTTTCTTCACTTTAGTCAAAATACCCCTTCAAACTTTGCACGGGGAAACTCAAAAGTGTAGGTCAAGACCACCCTCTTTAGGAAAAAAATTACAATAATCTGAAACTTAGGGTATAATGCTCCTCCTAATGTTCCTCCTAACCCCCAAATAGTAATCAGGTTTCTGAAAGTCCCAAGCACCTCAGCTTTTCCATCTGCAGCAGGTACAGGGAAAGCAGGCAAATCAAACTAATTCTAAGTATTTGAAAAAACGAGAAAACAAACTTTAAGCATTCTTGCAAAGCACAATTGGTATTTGCAACCACCTTGAATTTGGCCAAAGCACAGCTTTTGTGTTACTGCTGTTTTGGAGCTCACCCCAGTGTAAAATGCCCCACGTTTAGCTATGCTGCCTTTTTAACAGTGCTAATAACCCTTCTTGTACCACCTTTTAAAAGGAGCCCAAGCATTCATCAAATGGATAGGGTCAATAGGGCATGACGGTCACAAGAGAAAAGACCAGTTACTTCACATTCAATACTTCTGTATACAAATTTCAAGAGGATAGAAGGTTTATAGTTCAAGATTTAATCTTTCAATTTGCTGTCAGCAGCATCTGGAAATGAGGAGATCATTGCACTTTTAAAGCAAGAGAAAGGTTCCCCCAGTAAGGAGCAATTATGACCTCCGTTAGCGCTGCATATTTCTGCATCGCGTGCTACGGAAGAGGCTCTGCTATCATTTCCTCCCTCCATCCTCACAGCTGTGTCCAAAGTCAGGCAGGACACCCGCACCTGCTTTGCAAAATGGTAAACTGAGGCACAGAGCACTGCTATGACCCCCACACCAGCACAGAACAGGTTGTTGGAGGATTTGCAGTTTCCGGCTCTGAACATTAAAGGACACTTTTGTCATAACAAAAATGATTATGGTAGTATTTCCTGGAGATTAGCAGCTGGCCAGGGCTTTTAGCCTGCTCACCATCTTGGCTGACTCTAAATATTTTTAAGTCCTAGAGACATGCACAATTACTAAACATATGATAAACTGACAGCATATACATTCTGCATAGTTGCAGAATTGTATTTGCATGCCTCCGTATTAAGATGTAGACTTGAACAAATATGAAACAAGTTAGGTTTTGGGGAGTCTCGAGGATTTTTCTCAGTTTTCTACATTTGGCTGTACTGCAACAATACATTTAGGGTTGAGCACATCTTTGGTGCCTGCATACAGCCCAACTGCATCTATGTACACTACCTCTCAGCCCACAGTCCAATTTGCACCCACTTCAAAACTAGATAGGATTGCTCCACTCAGTCCTGGATATACGGGAAGAAGCTTTTACTTCACTCTTGTATTTAGTTAAAGCAACAAGACTATGCCAAGATGGCTAGCCAGAGGTTCTCATCCTGCACCATGTACTTGCTATAAACTATTTTATTCCTGCAAATTTATAGTTTGCTTTTATAATAGAACCAAATGAATCTTGCTGCCCACATGCAGAGAGCGTAGCAAAGCAGGTGGTGCCCTCACCGAAACAGAGCCACTCACAAGCCTAATGCACACTCAAGTTCCCTTCAACAATATTAACTTGTTTTGTTTGCTTCAGCTGGTTCACCGCTGTTTCCTGCAGAGTGCAGATGTCAAGATCAAACAAACACAGCTTCAGTGGCTGGGCCACACAGCAAAAACAGTGTCACCAGAACAGTGCAAACACACATGGCTTGATTCCTCTGTACAGTATCGCATCCTTCTTCCTCCACACCCCTGCCCCCCGCCTTCTTTCCTGCACATCTACGAGTAGCTTGCAAAAAAAATAATAATAAAAATAAAATCTATGAACAGACTGAGGAAAACGTATGTGACCAAAAGCAGCATGTTCCCTGGCACTCACAAAGGCCCTAAGTCCCTGTCTGCTGGCTAGTTGTTACCAGGACGCATCTAAGTGTGGTACCAACTTACTCTTCCTACTGAACTGCTCAACTGAAGTTTTGAGCAGGAGAGGGAGATGGCAGCAGCAACCATCATCTCCTGCTGCAAAACAGGAGCAGAAGACAACAGAGAAGCATGCAGCTGTGAGCTGCGCTGGTCTCATGTGTTTAAATATGAGCACTGATAAGGTCAAGGATAAAGTCTGTGTCTGCCAGCATTGGTGACCTGCATCTCCGAACATAGCTGGACCGAAGGTCCCATCTGTTGATGCACCAAAGACCCTCAGATGCAGCTCAAGTAAACATGAGCTGGCAAATGACTGTTGATTTGATTTTATTACCGTTGTTCCTAATAAACTCAGTCCTTCTCATGTACAAGGGAGAATTACACTAATGTACTAATTACACTAATTAACTTCCAAGATGCTGTCCTGTGCCCACTGAGGTACTCTGAAGTATTACTTGCATATACCTGAAAGTCTGGCAGCCGAGATCAATGGATGCTCTCTGTTACCTTTAAGCTGCACCCCATTCCCCTGCTATGGGAAATCAGCTCTGCTACAGAACTACTGTGAATATTTGCATTTGCTATTTTTTTTACAGAGCAGTTGAAGAGTCTCTTGAGGCACACCTTAGTGCCACAGGGCGACTACCTCATGCCTCCAGAACAGGGGACTAACAGCACACATTAAGCAAAGCTCACAGCTACATGGCTAACACGGAGAAAGCTAAGTATCCCAGAACAGCTTCTCCTTCACCAAGGTTTGTCTAAGCAGGTTATTTGAAAGATGCAGGTGTTCTGCAGAGAAAAAAACCCCACTCTGCTTGTACAATCAAAGCATATGCCCAAGGAGCCAAATTAAGGATTCCCAATGAAGCAAGAAAATACCTCACTACAAATTGCTTTGCAGTGTCAAACCTGCTCTTTGAAGGTGTTCTTGCATGCAAGATACCATAATGAGCCAAGCTTGAGGATCTTGAAAACAAGGGATGTGCTCAGTGTTGTTGGATATGTCCTGAAGGATTTCAGGGCATACCCCAAGCTCATGGCTCTTGGACGATAGGTCCTAACAAACAAAGACTGTAGACTTGGCCAGCTCCTCACTGGATGGAACAGAAAGGTTGCCACGTGGCATTTCTGCTAACATCTTTCACCTTCACAAATACCTCCTGCCAATCCTGATCAGGAAGAAGAAAGATGCCAGAGAAATTTCTTAAATCCAAGGCTGCTCAGGGATACTCAACATAGAACTTAATGCAGAAATGGGACCAAGTGGCTGGAAAGGGCAGAACAGCTTTAGGAGTGTGCTGGAAGACACTCCAGTCCATATACTGTCATGAAAGAAGGGTCTCAGAGCTCACATAAGAATGGGTAATCCCAACCCATCTTTCAATTCCCCTCCATGTAGTTTTAATAATGTGGCAAGGAAAGAGGTCAAGATGCACTGTGTTTAAATTGGACTTTTTTTTTGACAGGACCATTCAAATAGACCAGTATCAGAAGACTTTCACAGCAACATTAATACGATTTCTCTATTTGTTAAGTTAAGACACTAATCTTATCTCAGCTAACTGAAATTTGAGCTGATAGAAACTCCACACATCCAGGTAAACTGCTGACACAGGTGTCCTTCAATCTTACATGCTTATTTTTCCCCCCTTAAGACCCTGAATGAACATGGAACAAGCAAACATCATGCATATTTACAGCCTTGTATTTCCATTTGACAAGCAAGCAAAGCAGAGACCTGCACTGAAAAACATCGTTGCAAGACTTACCTTTAATAATACCTTTGAAGGCATCAAGTACAAACGTGATGGATATAAAAAGTGCAATTATTTCTTCTGTTGACCTGTGGAAAAATCCCAGGAATTAATACAGTCATTAGCAGAGTCTGCATTCAGCTCCATTCAAAGGAAAATCAGCACATTCATGCATTTACATGAAAATATACCAATTTTAGTTAGATTCCACCACAGGAAACAAAACCCAGTGAATCTTTAAAAGCTTCTTTCAAGCTGGAACAATAAGCTGAAATGATACTAGCCTCATCTTGCAAAATACATTTTGCAGCAAGTTTGTAATTAAGGAGCTTGTGGAATGTATAATTTTTCCATTTGGTGAATAATCTGATCAAAATATGACTTCTTGAAAATAGCTACCTTTTAAAGAGCTTCATCAGAAGACTGAAATTAAAGAGGGAGTACATCACAAGGAAAAAGCTGTTCCACAATCCAATCCAGGCATAGAAAGCACTGAAATCCAAGTTGTAGTCATCACAGATTCCTCGGATGACTGCAAAAATGAAGCATTCACATGTCAGATTAAAGTTTTGTCATTACCACCCTGTGATTCCCACCTGCTTGATGGCAAAAAGAACCAATTTCAAGACTTAACTGGAATGCACTTATGGCAGACAGTATTAAAACCCTGGTCTTAGACTCCCTTACGAACACTGGACAAACACAAATTGCCCTCTTCCCTCCCCTTTTCTCCACTAGAAACAGGGAGAAACATTTGGAAAACTTTCTCCAACAGAGCTCAAAGCATCTTTCCTAATGATCAAGGCCATGCAAATCAGCCCTTGGCATTTGGTCTTGTTGACATTTTGGGATGCTGTTGAGCAAGGGATCTCATACACGCTTTTGCACCACGTGTACTCAGTCACTGCATTGGGGACAAAACTTCATGTCTTAAACATTTCAAGCTATTCATAGCCCACCTGATTGCTCCTATAGATACTGAGTTTGCTCCTTTACACCTCTGGCTCAGTAGTATCAGCTTGCAGCTGATATAATAAGCTAATAATAACTGGAAAGCTGTTGATCACACCTTAAAAGACCAATTAAAAAAAACCAAAAAAACCTTTGTCTCCGGTGCTTATCTTCAAGTTGGCTAAATGCAGCCACATCAAAAAAACAGACAAAAAAGATTTCCTCCTTGAAGCAGAAGAAATGCTTATTCTCAAACAATGTTTTTCTTATGCAAAGATGATTCCTTTGGAAACCAACTTTAACTAAACCTGAATCAAGTGATTCCTCTCACCCTTAGAGCCAGAAGCAGCCCTTTAGTATTGATTTATTAAACAAACACATCTAAAGCTCAAACAGGATTGCAACGTTATTGTACGAGGTCCCATTTCACTAATTGCAATCACATCAGTACCCTGCTATATAAATTTAATAGACTTACCATTAATGTAGAGTGCCAGAGGAGCTGTAGTTAGGAGCACAACTAGAGGTTGCCCCGAAAAGAGCGCGTAAAGCAGCCCTCCGATACACTGGCCGACGATTGTCTTCCGCACATCTAAGAGTAATTAGGAAGAATAGAAACAAAAGGTGTTTTTAACCAATACCTCCCTGAACAAAAGGCATTCACAGGGCGTAGAAGCCAACTACTAACAAGTAAGAGCAATGCTTAGAGAGTATAGAGGTAAGATACTGAGAAAGCAAAAAGTGACCTTTTTCCAGCAAACTTGTACCAATAATTTAGGTTGTCATCAGGTTCCCAGATGTTAAACTATAAAAGTTGGGTGGACTTTTTTGTTTGGTTTGGGTTTTTTGAGGGTTTGGGTGTTGTTTTTGTTGGTTAGCTTTGTTTTTTTGGAGGGGAGGGGGGTGCTATTTTGTCTTTTTACATTTATTTTATTTTAAACAGCTATAAAAACATCAACAGTGTTTGTGGAGGCCTTCAGGACAAGATTTCAACTAAGACTCCTATGAACTGTAAAGAGCAGTATGAACTGCTTCTGTGCCACAACTGGGACAGAATACATCATCCAGCTTTGCTTTTTTGGTATAGCTATATCAGTGGTTTGGATACTGGCAATCAAATTCAGATCAAAAGCACAGGAGCCTGTACTAGGAAAAGCGTGCAGATAACTACGTAGTTATAAAGTGAGCATCACTTAAAAATACAGTAGTATATATCTGTTTCAGCCCAAGTCAGAAGATACCATCCACAGTAGCATTCAATTTTTTTTAGTCTTCTGAGAACGAGTCATGAAGATGACAATTAGAAAAGCCTTCAGAGGTGTTCTATTCATCAAATAAAAGCTATCTGAATTTCCTGTCATCAGAGCTACTCAGCCTGAATACATGGAATCCTATAACAGATGCACAAAAGTGATAAACTTACCAATAACTCCTCCAGTATTTTCATCATTGAGTGACCCAAATGCAATAGATGGAAGGAGGCAGGCAAAATACAGAAAGATCATAGTTGTGATGTATTTTCCTATAGCTTTGTTGTTTCCAATAACACCTAGTGTAAACCACAACAAAAAGTCATGTTTGTACCTCCCACTTGTAAAACATTGAAACCCTACTTGCATCAGCCATATGTACTATTAGTTCTTTTAACACTGAAAGGCAGAAGTAGAAATTTAATACACAGTTAAATCTTAAATGTATAGGTACGTATTTAACATTTGCTTTTGCACAACCATGCTCTTCTATTCATCCAGGATCAGAAGAAGCAGCATCAACACACCACCAGACTGCTTCAACAGACATTTCTGGCATCGTCAAAACAGGAAATACTAGAAGCCTTTTGTTCAGTTTTGCCAGCCCCAAAAGCTTGGAAGACAATCAAAGCAGAAGCCATAAGTTTAGTGTTCATAAACCCTCCACTCCCTGCCTTTTTAATACCAACTTTATATGTATTCTAGGCTATGCCCCAAATGAGCTTCACAATGATCACTCATCTTTGCAACTCTTGATGCTTCGGGCAGGAAAAAAAATGAAGCACTTCATTTTTCCCTAGGCAGAAAACTGAGGTTAGAAGCCTGAATCAATAATATGATATGCTGAGCCAACTAATGCTAGCAGACCTACAAGAACAAATAGCAGAAGAGGTCAGGAACGTGTACATTAAGAGTTTTGCTTCAAAAAAGCCCTTCTGAAAGCATGGCTTCTCCCTTTTCCATCCACTCACCCGTTCTCATCTCTATCGGAAAAAAAACACCAGGCCAAAACAACAGCAGCCAGAAAGAGAATTAAAGTGTCATAATATGAATTTAAGGGCCTCTGAAGTATTTTCCCCTCCCTTTCCTGTTTTCAGGCTGATGTCCATCCCCAGTGAGCTCATATCACACAAGAGAAAGGATAAGAGATGACAACAGCTGATACTGCTTGAGGAGAACATAAGCTTTTCTACAGAACAGCCTCTTCAGAAAGGCTACACCAGAGAGGGCCTTTCCAAAAAAAAAAAAAAACCAAAAACAAAAAACCACCCTGAAACAACCTTCAACCATGTGCCACCAACCTTCAGGACACCACTACTGCGAGACACTTGAACAACCTTGGATTTGCCCAATTCCTGTTTCTAGAAGCCTCCTGAGCAGCAAACTCCCACACAGGCATGGACCCCTAAGCTCCCAAATGCCCATCTGGCCTTTGCTACCATCAAGTCCCTTGCTGAGGGAGCTGCAAGCCAATCAGTTGGATCAGAGAAAGGAGGGCTTTGCATCAGAGGCTGTTGATGCAACAGTGAGAAAATCTGGACATTGCCACAACAGACTAACTGTATCACTGGAATGAAAAAAAACAACAAAAAAAGTATCACTCAATGACTTGGAATCTTATCTAACATCTCTTTTCTGCACCATTTGCAGTGCAGAGATAAGGACAGGAGGAGGATGCAAAAAACCAAAAATCAAAGATGATGTGTAATGAACAGGCAGATGCATGAAAAAGGACACCTTGTGATAGTTCTTGTTCGCAGACATGAGAGGAACAGACATAAACAGGACTTCTTTTCAGCATCCTCAAAAAAAGGGCACGGGCTGAAACTTGATAAGAGACATCTCAAACATGCAAATATGAGCCTGACCTTCCAGGAGTCACAGGACCAGCTGTTTCAAGGCAGATTGCTGTTAATTTATTGTGAAGATTCAGAAAACACAGACCGCATTCCTGACCACGCTTGGCAACCAAAAGGCCTGAAATTTACTTCTTGCAGATGAAGCTGTCTCATGTGATCTTGAGTCCAACAGCTGCAGGCTCCTACCTCACACTCCCAAATGACTGAGACCTTTAGAGAAAAGGAAAGACTGGGCAGGGCAACAGCAGACCGAGTGGTAGTTTTATAAGTAGAGATGGTCATATCCTTGTTCTCTGCCACTCCAGAATACTGCTTTTTGGACAAAGGAGTCTTTCCAACATGAAAGGTCAGAGGCAACAATGCTCAAAAGCTTTGAAATCATTCAAGGGCAGGGAACTGGACCAGAGAAGCAACTAATATTTAAAAAAAAGCAGCTCATTTGGTGAGCAGAGAAAGCTATGCAAGTGATAAGGTCCTTTCTAAAAAAACTTTCAGGTAGATATAGTATGAGAGGGCAGGAGGAAGGAAGAAGCCTTGAAGAGCATCACACAAGCTCACACGTAGCTTTTAGTTTCAGCTTTAATCCTTCAAGGCAAGCAGCAGGAGTCCTTGCTGATCATGGAGATCCTTATGTCACATCATGGAGGGGGGGGGTCGAAGACCTCCAGTATGAATCAGTACTTTCTTTAGTGCATAATCAGCCACATGAGATCCAAGAAGCAAAGAATCCTTACTGGTGGGCAGCAAAATTCACTTCATAATGGAGACAATGACTACATCAGATTAAACATACCCTTTCAGAAACATCATTAATCACTCTTTAATTGCAGTTAAAATCACGAGTAAATACTGCCTCCTTGTACAGACTCACCTGAGACAAGCGCCAAAATCCAGCGTTAACCACAATTTACCTTTTGCCTTTTTAAAGTCAACATCTGGCTAAACATTTTCAGGGTCTATTTGCAACCCAGGAACTGACATTATTTAAAAGAAGGTGGGCTGCGTTATTTCATCTGCGGCAGGCTCATAAAGCCTTTGAAAAATGTGTCACTCCAACTGCACAGTGTAAATTTGCAGCAGAAAAAGAACTCTCAGTCCAGCTGCGAAATCTGAGCAGCTGACTATTACAGAAGCAATCCCTTGAAATTAAGGTACATCTACACATTGACACGGGAAGCAATTATGTTCATTGACACGACAGCTCTATTTTACTTGCTTGAATTTCTGAAATGTCATAGTTTTTAAAAGACAAGGTCAGAGTTTCACAGAAAGCTGCAGCATTGCTGCCCTCACTTTCCTTGGTATTCTGTGTCAATAAGTTAATGAGCGAGAGACTGGGACTAGAGCTCCTTAAGTCTACTAATTGTAGATTTACTGAATTAAAATAGAGACAGATGGACATTCTATGAAATGTCTGACTATTAATGTTCTTTTCCAATTCCTGAAATATCCAATGCAAAACAAGTTTAATTATACTGATCTGAAGCATAGCCACAAGGGATGTGTCTACTAAAACCCTAATTTAAAAAAAAAAAAAAAAAAAAACGAGTGCCCACAATTTTGTTGTAGAAAATACTTACAACTTAAGTAGCCGAAGTAAAAATGGGAGAAGTTATGTTTTACTGCAGAGATGAGAGCTACAAAATGGAATGTCACTTATTAATATTTAATTTTATTTGGGGATTATGAACATTTTTTGAATTTAGCAGCCTATCGCTTATAAATATATCTCTGCAAAATTTTGAGTTATGACAGGAACAAAGCAGGAAAACTAAGTTCTCAAAATATTTTGACAAGTGATTATTTGATAATCTTTTTAATATTAAAACTTTATATGTGTTCTGTTAATTTGCAATAAAGTATATGTTAGAATGCCATGAACAATCCAGTGTATAAAACAATCAGAACAGCTAGGTCTGTATCCTTTTGCTAAAGAAGGACTTTGTTTATCCTTTATGTAGTAGTGTTGCAAGAAGCTATTTCAAGGTTGTTAATGACATATAGTGTGGGAGTTTTTATAGTTAAAAAAAAAAAAAAAAAAAATCGATCACCTTTCAATGGCAAAAACCACACAGTAAAGGTATCTGTTCATAGTGTTTTTGCACCATAAAAACTCAAAGCATTACAAACATCTGTTAATGTCCTCAATCTGGGCTTTCATTTAAGTTAGTAGCTATTGGACTGTGCCCAATTTTCTGAAGGTGAACAGAAGATGAATCTTCCCTGAAGTCCTGTAAAGAGTAAATCACAGTACAAGTGAGACTAAGAAGATAACTGGAAAAGCAAATCCACTCCTACTGATTTTGGAGCACAGAAGCCAAGCATATGCTCAGAAGAGAGAAGTATGAAGAAACAAATCAAGGACTCGGAGCTTTCCCTTCTCCTCTTGTTTCTTTCAGCCTATCTCCCATGAAGTGCTAGTCTCTTGGAAGGAAACATCTACAGAAAAAGCAAGATGTTTTTATGCATCTTTAATGCATTTCCATCCACCACTGACACAGAGACTCCAAAAGCATCATTGCTGCAAACCCAGGTCATGATGCCCCAGGGTATCCAACAAGTCAGTCTTCAAAAGTGCCAGTTAACTTTTACACCAAGGCAATATTTAAGAATGAAGGGCTGCAAAGTGATGTAGGAGCTACACCATCATGGCAGTAGAGGCACTGAAGAGAAGGAAAAAAGCCTGTCTGCAATCCCTTTATCTTTCCTCCTCCCTCAGGAATGCAATCCTGCCAAACAAGGTGGCCAATGCAACCAGGTGGGAAAGTTGAAGATTTGGCACGTGCCACAGCCAATCTGCAGTCAAGAATTTAGCAGGTTTAAGCTCTGTACCATCCTAGACAGTAAGACAAAACTTTCAAATCCCATCTTTCCAGTGCCTTCAAGCTTTCCTTCAAAGCACGCCTGCATTACAGGGAACTTCGGAGATCTCCCTCCCACAAAACACCACCACCAAATCCCGAGGATGCTGCCAGGAGATGCTCTCGCATTACTCTCAGGAGCTGGTTAGGGACCCTCTGCAGGACCAAGGACAGGGAGGAATCCACATCTCCAGCCGAACTACCCACCCACCACGGCAGTGTGCCAAGGACACAGGTCAAAGAAAACAGGCGGAGACAGAATAAATCTCAGCTCTCCTCCCTTCCCTTCACCCTCCCTCCCAAGAGATGAAGGGATACGGCAAGTTTTGATGCTATGTTCTGCCATAAAAACCTCAGGCACCTCAAATTTCCTCCTGGGCACTCCAAGGACTGCATTCGTGTTTATTCCTCTATACCGTATCAGAAAATACACACTGAAGAATAAGGTTTGCAACTTCAAGAGGTTTCAGGAAACTCATAGTTGAGTCCAGGCAGAATCCCCTCCTTCATTCAAACCAGCCTCAAAATAACAGATATTCAGGAAGCTCCTATGATTCAACTGAATCTTCAAGAGTTACAATATTGACACGTGTGTTCTGAACCTATTGGACAAGATCAGGTTGAAGTTCTGTACAAACTTTTTTTAAAGAAAATATAATCCCATAAACCAAGGTTGTAATCGTTAAGAGGAGACTACATGTCAAATTGTGTTAATCCTAACTTTAAAGGAAATTTACAGGTGTTCTTAAATTCAGCATAATCCAATTGTTCAACTTCAGATGCTGCTGCTGGAAGGTACCTACTACAAGCCATCCATATAACTAAAGTCCTGGATCAAGAGTTTAGAAAACTTCCTGTAAGCTTGTGTGTTCAGTAAAATGCACAAGAGTTCCACAACCCAAAACAGAACTAAAATTGACAAATTCCTAATCTGGAGGAAAAAAGGAAAAAGAGAAAGATGATTCCTTTCATTCCCAAATCATGATGGTTAAGGGTAATTTAATGTCCAGCTTTGCACAGCATGCAAAGACCAATCCCACAGAAGTTCAACTGACAAAACACTTGCTGGCCCTACAAAAGCCTTATTATTTATCACCCTGCCCTTAATCAGTTTGTCTGTCTAAACCAAAACCCCAGGACGCTTCTCAGATTGAGGATTTAGAGACTCAAACCATTCAAAAAAGGCATCTTTGTGTTTCAGGGTTCTTTGATGATGCACATGTGGTTGTCTGGAGTGCAGATACTTGGATAGCTGAAATCCCCAATGTTCTGGTACACTGCTGCTTTGAGTGGTCCAGGAATTTCACATTCCTGATCACCTTCGGTCTTGGTGGTTTATGGCAGATGCTTTATGCTCCATCTGGTTTTCATTCCACACATATCCTTAAAGAATTCATCCTAATTTCTGGTTTCTGGGAAGAAATGGCGCACACTAATATATATAGGTTTTTAAAAGTCCTCTTTTTCCCCATATCTTTTTTGAAAGGGCAAAACTGCTCCTAAGGTGAGTACTTCATATTTGAGTTGCAGTAGTTCTTCATTTCTGCCCCTTCCACTTTCCAGAAACTGTGTAACAATGCACTGGCACTTTTTAACATAGATTTGCATTTTATACCAAAACCCTTTTTCTGAATGTTTGTAGTGCTAGATCCTCACTATGACATTATTTCACCACTCAGAGCAGATACAACCAAGGGAACAATTATTTCAAGCTAGACTATCCTGGCACCTCGTTTAGGCCAAGTCCGATCTATGTACCTCAGTTCATGGAAAGCTTGTGGACCTGGCTAGAGCTGACAGCCCCAGGGCTGCAAGGCAGCACGCACAGGCTAATTTGGATGCAGGAAGAGCCAGATTTCCAAATCTGTTGAGAGTCAATATTGGCTGCAGGACCATTGTATGATGCTTTTGTGCCTGTGAACCTGCTATGTTCAGGACACTGACAGCCATAAGTAGTATCAAGCAGATAGTACTCTGTCGTGAGATGAACATGGGTCCTCACAGGATGCTTCTCCCTAAACAGTAGTCCTGCAGCACTTCTCTTCTGAAGTGCTCCAGTATCCCTTTATAATGAAAAGTTAGACTTTGACAGCCCTACAAAGCAACAGCAATGTAAATTAAGTGTCCAGATTAGGCTCTTAAGTCCCCTACCAGATCTGGTGCCAATGATGCAAGCATCAAGAAATACTTTTCTGTTTGATCAGGCTCCTTGCCACTACCCTGAAAATAATTTCTTGTCCCCCTTCCTCCCCAACATACCCTCAATTCCCAGAGAACATAGCATTAGCTTGACTTCAAATGGAGCCTTCTCTCCTTTCACCCCAAGCCTCCTGAAAACAATTTCTTCCCAGCAGTCACAAAGCACCTGGAGAAAGCATCCAGCACTCAAACACTGTGCTAAGCCAGCATCTCATCCCATTTTATTCTTCTCAGCAGAGTGGATACCACTAGCTGCAAAATGCATCGTGGTAGATAAAACATTCCTAGTCAAAGCTGGATCTTTGTGGGAAGCAACTACTTGGCAACTTCCCCAGACATACAGCATCTCCTTCAGCCAAGCAGCCAACAGCCAATTGCTCTGTTCCTCTGCTGGTGGTGACCATCCTTGTTGAAATGTAGTGGAGAACTTACATCCATACCCTGCTCATGTCTGCTCTCCAGCTTAAGCTGCTGTGGAAGGTGGCTTTGCACTAGAACACTCATCTGCAAAATGAGGCTCAGGTATGCAGCTTATCTTCTTATGCCAACTCCAAGGGAGATGGCCTCAGCAGAGGTGCAGTGGGGAAGGCTGGGACACCGTGGCTTGAGCAAAGGAGGATTTAGCAACAGGGAAGTGTCTCAGAGCCCTGAGATTCTCCCTGCCTAGACTCTACATCTTTATTTTATGCAAACTTTCTGGGTTGGATACTTGAATATATTAACCAACGCCCCAATAAGCTGTAAGAACCTGAACACATTTTGATGTCAGGCTGAGACTCTGTAATCATGGTTTGCCCCGAAGACTTTTCATAGCCTTTAAGAATCTCTGAAAGTTTGAAAGTGGAAAGGGAAAAAGTGACTCCTAAAACCAACAAGGCCAATATGGGGGCTATATAAAGCCCAAAACCTAAGGCTCAACATAAACACTGTATTGCTGTTCTTGTGATCTGGCTACAACAGACAAGCCATATCCTGTTTCTAAAAGCATTGAGCTGAAGTTACTGCAGCTCCAGTTTTGTTTAAGCATTCTCAACTCCCACAGTATCACCATAGCCAGCTATTGATGCTGGCTTGCAAAGACAGCAGAAAGGACCTTTTAGGCTGACTAATTAGGTTGCTATGAGTTGATCTGTGTCTACACACGACAGCAATCAATCCATTTAATCACCTCAATACTTAATAGAAGTTAAAATCCTCATCTACATACAGGTAGCATCTTCATTAAAGGAACACTGCAAGATTCTCATGTCTAGTGTGCCGTGCTGCCTATTTGCAGGCTTTTGTCAAAATATCCAAATAAGAAAAAAAGAGAGCTATTACACGTATCAAAGAACACATTCAATGCACACTGTAAACAGGACATCGCATCACAAAAATTCAAAATCAGGCCAATGCTTTCATAAACACTGGCCAACATACCGTCAGTGAAGTCCAAAGCGTACACTGGAAATCTTCGTGCAATGTCATCAGAAATCCCCTTGCCAACATTGAGAAACTCATGCAACTAAAGAAAGGAAGGAAGTGCTGTGTCAGTTTAAAGGCTCATGCATTGTTAAAGAGATTAACCTCCTTATTCAATACTGATAGGAGCAAAAACGGTCATTTTGAATAGGGCATTCAAATCAGATTTTGTAATGATAATAAAAATAAACTCTTCACACTTTAATTTATATCCTCAAAAGCATTGTAAAAGAGAAAATCCCCTAGACCACCCTGTCTTCCTCCCTTCCTTCCTTTTCCCCCTCTCCCATTCATATCTGTATCCCTGCTTTGCAGGTGAGGGAGCTGATGCACAGCATGACCTGCTGAAAGCACCCTGACCAACAGCAGGATTAGACCTTGAGTACTCTGGGGTGAAACATCAGGTCAGAGATGCCTCTCCCATCCCTCTAGCCAACTTCCTTTTATCTTTAGATGCCACCACAGAATTCTTTCCCCCAAACTGACCTGAAGCCTCTGAAGGGGGGTCCCTAGCAAGTGCTCCCCTTCCTCGCCATTGTCATGGGAAACAAAAACCTCAAGCAGATGTAGTAAGGCAATTAAGACTGTCTGCACCTCAGACTCCACTCAAAAGGAACAAGCTTGAGTAAGTTCACATAAGCAAGCCATAATTTCTGCCCATTAAAAGACAGCAGAATTATTGTGAAAGGGTTCCAAAAACTTAACACATTCCCTTTTATTTCTGGTTTGGGCGCCTGCAAGGTGCAGAATTATTGTTTATACAATCTGATGCTCACCACAAGCAATAAGGAGCTTTTCAGAAATTGTGACAGCTGCTATTGACTTACACCCTCCCAATTCTCACAACTACATCCTTGCATAAAGCACATGGAAAGCATCAGAGTAGGTAACACTTGCAAATGAGGCACCTGTCAGATTTTTTCCTATTATCCTCAACTCAGAGTACACATACTACTCTGAACATCAAATGCACCTTTAAACAGTGCTAATTACCTCAACTGTCTCATATAAAAAATTTCATGTTTGTTGCAGAATTAGACACAGAAGACTTAGAACTTCTGCTAGGGAGTGTAGAAGGAAGGAAATCACAGATCAAAAATTTACACCAACAGATCATCTCAAAACAGCATGGACATCTTCCTTTGGCTGGTATATGTGGAAACTGATAAAAACTCCTTCTTTAGAAAGGACTTGACACTACATTGCTCATTGAATAGACTACATACGACTTTGCTTTTTCTCAAACTCACCTGCTTTGCAGTACCTGGAAGATCAGAGTCATAAATAAAACACAACAAGAAAATCCCCCCCTTCAGAAAGAATACATTGAGCACAGCAAACACCAGGTTTTGGGGTGCAAAAGATACCTCAGAGGATCAGCTCCTTTATCAGTGACTATGACATCTTATATTTCAGCTACTTAAGTCGATTCCGTTTCATTTTGCCAATACACCTGTATTACTTTATGACAGTTTTAACTCTCTAACCTGAACAATCAGGATGAAAAGACAGCAGACACCAGCATAACATTTGCATTGTAAGCATTTCTGAAAAAGCTATGAGCTTAAACCATATTTGGAGGCATATTTGGACATCAAAGCCATATGCACTTGAAAAGCAATTTAATTCCCCCCCCAGAAAGACATTCCTGAAGGCACGAGTCAGACAGAGAATCACAATAGCTTTAATGACTAATATGTTTACTCGTCTTGCTGCAGTGAGAACAGGGAAAATGATGCTTGGGGCATCTCATCTTCCCGGGAAGAAGCCACATGCTTGCTGCTGGCCCAGGAAGGGAAGGGGCACTCATGCACACTCTGTTTTTGTCGGCAGCAGTGAGTGTGCTGAAGATAAAAGCACTGCCTAATTTCTTGTCACACAAGACACGTTGATGCAAAATTTGAGAGAAGGGGAGGCAATGGGTTATGTCCAAACCTCCTGATTCTCACATGCATTTATTTCTTACACATCTGCAAGTTTAGCTTAGGTGGGGCATGGGGATGTCAAGCTAAATCTTGCGAGTGGCTAAGTATGGGGAAAGCTGTTTCTTCTGTATGGCTCATCTCACTTCTAATTTCCTCTCTGCCTACTAACCTCATACTCAACTTGGGTTGCATTGAGGAGCAAAAGGACCAAGTTTACAGACCTCTTAAGTTACTGCCCCTTTTGGTTTTACTTTTATTCCCCCCACCTATCCACCAGGCATCTTCATTGTCAAACTACTCCAGATATGTTTCAGTCTGGCTTTTGCCTCCTGCCATCTTCTGAGCTGGCACCTCATGAGGTTTCCAAAAAACTTAGGAAAGACAATGCTGACACTTTTTTCTTTCCCTTTTTGATTTGCTTCCTCATATGCTCCAGTATTGGGAATTTCATGGACTGCCACTCCCTGCTTCTTTCTCCTTCAGTGGGTCAACTAGGACTGACCTATTGGCTTTTCCCATCCACTCATGGTGATGCCTCTCTTACAGCCCTATCATCTTTTTGATTTAAGATCCTTGGTACTAGGTAGCCTTATTCAGAAAGTCTTTCTTTCCCAAAGCTACATCCTCCACCAGGCTCAAGGCTATTAGATTTTAGGAACCACTCAGGGACCCCAGCACCAAATCCTCCTTCAGTCTCCTCCTCTTCTGCAAGTCCTTCCAGTGCTTTGCTTGCGTTGCTCTTAATACACAAGGGGGGAAAGAGCAGCAAAAAGGAACATAATTTGTGAATTTTCCACTTTCTATTTTACAAATCTCTCCAAGTCTCTTGCCATAAACAACCATTATTTGGGTTAGAGGCTAAATCAGTATGATAAGTTACACAGCCAAATATAAGATACCTGCTTCAACACACCAACCCTTTTTCAGTCCTCCCTAAAAGTACTGAGGGGGCTGCACAACTATTTTACACAGCCTAGAGACACACACTATCCTCCCTGCTGCTGAGCCAACATAGCTCAGCCCTCTCAGCAAATCCGCACAGGTATCAGACAGATACAAAAATCACAGCCAGAAAGCATCACAATTGTTAGGGGCTCCTCCATGACTAAAATCACAATTAGATGCCTCAGTAAACAAGAGGATTTCAAGCTGACTTAATTATGACTGAGTATGTAGCCCTGCCTAAATAATCCTCGAAGATGAGCCAAAGCAAACTGACTGTGCTGTAGGCACAGCATGGTATGCAACTCTCATGTTCAGTATTTTAGCAGAGGTAAAAACAAGCACTTGCAAAAATTCCACTCATACACAGAGCATTTGTGGCCCATTTCTCTCCCATCATGGCAGAACTAAGGGAAGAAGGGAGGCAGGAGGCATATTTTTAAGCTACCAAGAGACTCTACCCTCCTGGCCCTTTCTGAGGGTTCACTTGTAATAATACATTGGCTCTGGATTAGGGTATTTATTTCACTGGGGCCAGTTCACAGGTTGAAATTACACCCCTGGTCTCATATGAATTTGTGCTTGTATTAAATACTTCGTTTCTAGAAGGCTATTGCACAGGGTAGGCAGAGGGGGAAAAGATGCTGCCGGAGATGGCTCTCAGGAACTGAGGAATGTAGATTACGCTCTCAAATCAACCTCACTTCTCCAGGTAAATCTTTGCTTGCCAGGAAAAGAAATCTCCATCCCAGTTCTCAAGATCTATGTTGGTAAGGCAGGGCTGAGGGACAGCTTCTTCCAAGAGACACGAGAAAGCAGAGTTACTAGTACACAGGCTGTGTCTCCTGAAAGCTGAAGCATAAGGCATTTTAAAAACAATCATTTACCAATTCCAGACCAAGAATGGTCAGTGCCAAGAGCAAGCACTAGAGAAACAAGTGTCACTATCTGCAGCACTGACTCAGAGCCATCAAAAATCTGCCTGGCCAAGGCTGCTTGCCCAGCAAGGCAACGAGGAATCACCACTTCTCAGGGCAAACACCTACAAGCTCAGTGTTGTATTCAGCCCTCCTGCTCACCAAACTGCAGAGCAGAAAATCCTCTACAGACATTTAAAAAGGGTTAGCTTTGGAGAAGGCCATCAGACATTTCAACTTCTCTACCAAAAACCCCTTCAAAATCAAGTGCAAAGGATTAAAAATACTTTACCTAAATTACATTACTGCAAGTACTCCAAATATCACCATTCTGAATGGTCTAGGTTTGAAGAGGGTTTCAGGACTTGTTTTGCAAACTTAAGAGCAGGTATGGGACCTAGAAAAGTTCGAAGCACTGCCTATAAGCAAGGAGATTCTGCAGGAAAAACATGAGCTTTGCTCATTTCCAGATGTGCAGATCAAAACTCTAAGTCTATTCCAGGGAAAAGAAAAAAGTGATAAATTCACCAGTTTCTGCACTGTACGCAACCTAAAGCTTTAAGGTTATTTGTAATTGAGGGACAGGAGCAGCAAGCTGGAGATGACACAGTTTGTTTTTCAGGTATGCTGTCTGGTTAAAGAATGAATTTCTGAACGGAAGAGCAAAGCAATGACCAATACACAGGAAATTCCAGAAAAGAAAGCTGAATTACAGCATTTCCCTCGAACTTTAAAGTACAAAGCAACTAACATTTTACAGAGCTACAGATCAAACGGTGAGAAGTCAGGCCAAATACTGACAGGCAACCCTTAAGTGAAATTACCATGCAGGAATGGCCAAGAAGTCTTTTGGCTGCAGGAAATACAAGCAGCAACTTCTTCAGAGACTTCTGATTGTAAGGATTAAGTACCCTGGACTGACAACGCACAGTGATCCATTAATCCCACCCTTGACTAAGCATCTGGAATCAAACTCCTGTAACCATTTCAACCCCCTGCTGCTCTGCATCCCTTCAGCACCTGCCTCTTTGAAGTAGTGGTTTTGGTTATTTTTTTCTTTTTTTTTTTTTTTTTTATATTTTTCTGGTTAAATGTACTGGTTAACACATTTAAATATCTTTTGCAAGCTTTTTCTTTACCTTATTATTCTATTCTACCCCTACTCTTTCTGTCACCAAATAAAATCAATCTTTCTTTTTTTATTTTTATGAATTTCTCTCTTATATCCAATACAATTTTGAAGGCAGTTTTACCCTAAGAGTCCAGGGATGTTGTTTGCAACCTTTTCTTCTTTGCTTAGCCTGCAAATTCCAGATAGAGTTTGCTCTTTTGAATTAATGTGCATGGCTCTTCTGTATTAAAGTCCTTAAACTCTCCATCCAGTCATTGTCTCTAATTGGTTCTCATAATTTCTCAAAGAAATTGCGCTTTCAGACTGTGGGAAAGAGAAACTTTACTGCAGTGTATTCCATCTGCCCTTGTGGTAACCTACTGACTGTGTAAGAGCCATCTAGGGAGTAGCAACTACTCATATTTATTTTATAATAATATTTTATTCACACTCTTCTCTTTGTTAAATGTGAACATTTAAAAAATGTTAACAAAGGTTTTTCTCTTTTTCATGTCAAACATTTAATGTTCTTTTACAGAATTTGAGGTTAATGTAACCAGCCTTAGACATTTCATAGTTTTATAAGGCCAAATGGTTTAGCATATCCTTTTTGCATATCCTTCAAATTAAAAATATAGCATGAATTCTGTCAACATAAACCACTTAATGACTGCTTATGAGATATGCAATTATCTAGTCACAAATGTCTTGTGCAAAGAATAGATGCAAAAAAAACCTTGTAAGCTGTTGTAATGTTATGTTTTTTTTTTTTTTTTTTTTTTTTTTTTTTTAGATTTACAGTAAGAGCTGAGGAAGGTGGACACACACACAGAGCCATTTACTGAGAGCTTCCTAGGAAAGCCCAACGGATGCAAGCAGCACCAGCGCTTCATCTCCTTACCCAAAATCCTTGAAATTATGCATTTGGACTCCATGGAAGCAGGAGCATGACAGGAGATTTTGGCCAGCCTTACCTTGAGTGGCTTATGACCGTGCGACTTGTGCCCATCACTCATTGCTGAAGGTCTCTGATTCACCACTGTCAACAAGTGGCGTTGGTGAACTAAGGCTTCCTTGAACTCCTCTTCAGTTTTGGTTTCTAAGAGTTTCTGTCGAAAGGTTATATCTGAAAACATCGTGGCAAAGGTCCTGCCCACTTCTGTGGCTGTTTTGGTACTTTTCTGAGCAGAAAAAAAGAGACAGAAAAAAAAGCCTTGTGAAACTATTTCCTTTCACTTCCAAAAGGCAAACCCACTGATTTGGCCCATTGGACACCATCTGAAGAGCAAGGTGCCTGGCTTCCAAGACCCCAGAGACATCTAATGGCGAAAGGCACATGAGGAAGCTGCTGCAGATGAACACCCCAACCACAGCAGGATCCTGTGAAGGCATCAACAGGCCCTGACCAGAAGCACTGATCAGTCTTACTCGATCAACTTCCCAGGACTTGAGCCAAAGCTGAATCATGCTGAGCATGCATTTTATCTCCAGTCTCCCTTCAAGGCTGCTAAAACTAAACAAAGAGTCTTTGCTATCCTACAGTATTTCAGCAATACTACTGCTGAGGTAGAAAAACACTGTAGTCAAGGTTGCTGCAGGTAGAAATGCCCTGATGTCTCTTCCAGAATACTGAGATTATTGTGCACATTTGCTTCATCAGTTTCCTATTTTCTGAATTTCTAAAACTCAATTTGGATGGCCTCTCTGGGGTAACTCTGGCAGCATAAGTAAAGATTTAGAGCTCTCGAATAAAGTAACTCCTGGCAAGGAGGAAAGCATAGGAAAGAAGCAGCTGAGCACGCACAAAATCAGCACTGTCTATCTTCACCAAATACCTCAAAGGGACAGAAGACTCACAAACATGAAAAAGGAACAAGTGCCTATTTGCAGCCTTTAACATTTCTGTGAACCACAGTCATTATCTTTAAGGGTCCAGCTTCAACAGTATCCAAGCTCACTTACCTATTGCTCTAAGCACCTTGGATATCAAATATAAAGGGAACAATAAAGTAGATTGAGCTCCCCATCCCTGCACAAACCCACCAAGTCCAAGCTCTGCAAACCCTGATCTTCTCAACTGCTTGTACCACTTTGGTCAGGTCAGATAAGATACTTGCTAAAGCAAAGTTATGCAGAGCAATAGCTCATTAAGAGCTCCTTTTGATGCAAAATTTTAACCACCCAGCCCTAGCTACACTCAGCACTCATCATGCAGCAACTGCTAGAGACACCCAAACAACCACCCTCCTTTGGACAGCCTCCAAGCTGCTCACATTACTGTGAAGTAGTAGCAAGCATACGTGATTGATCTGAATTAGTTTTCATGATTCATAACAAAGCATATGAACAATTTCTTCATGAACACAGCAAAATAATTCAGAGCTGCTTCATGAAGAGGCATGGATACATGGGTGGCACCACACTAGGCCCAAAAGCATCACTAACACTGTATTTTCTCTATCACCTGCCCTGCCTCCACCTCCCGACCATCACCCTCTCTCTATCACAGGGAATGTCCCTTCAGACATGCTTGCTAGGACATGTTCAATTTAAGTCTCTAGGAAAGAATTTGGATTTAAGTGAAGATAGCCTGCTCTGGGAGATGCTTTTACAATTTGTAAACTTGGTCCTTTCAAATGGAACCAGCCTGGATTTGTCATCACAGGGAGGCTCCTCCTTTCGCCGCTAAGAAGCGGTGGTCCTTGGGCTGGATGCTGCAAGGGCTTACTTCAAGCTACCCAACTCTGCTCCCTTTCTTCGCTTTCCCAGACAGATGTGAATGGTTTGGAGGAAGACCACAGACATTAGCAAGAAAACAAGTTTTTACCATCCTCCATACTAGAGAAGGCCAAGGAACTGGATTCCTCTGCACAACAGATGCCCGCTTTCTGGGCTTCCCTTCCCCAGCAAAGCTCATTTAATCTGTTACTGTCAGCAGGTTAATTATTTTAACTGCTGTACCAGAAATGCGTACTTAGAGCTGGCTAGATGAACTCATTTAAAATAAAAAGCATATTGGCAACTGCAGCTCTGCTTGGCCTCCACTCCCTTTCCTTAATTTGATGCTGTCCATTGGAATCGCAAACTTTCAGGACACGAGCGGATGCAGAGCTGTCCGCTGGGTGCTTTGCACGTAGCTGACGAGATAAGCAAATGGCCATACAATGAAAGAGATCAATGCAATTGCGTGCAGGTTCAGTTGTTTGCCTGCTGCCTTTCATAAGACACTTCAATATGTTTTCAGCCTGTTGGGTTTGAGATCTATGCCAAAAGCATTGACCTGCTCAGCTGGGAAAGATCTGCCAGAAATCCTGGGAAATAAGGAAACACCAGTATTTCTATTTAAACAAGGGTGGTGGTGATGGAGGGGAGGGAGGAGACAGACTAGACTAGAAGGTCCCAAGGTCACACAGATAGCATTGAAGAGGAGGAAATTGAATCAGGATATGTCCTGTTTCAGACAAGGTCCCCAACCGTTCCAGCACCAGAAGCACAGACCTAGTAGCCCCAAGGTGTAAACAGCCAATTTAAGTGTGAAAAGGTCTTGAGCTTTGAACCTATCAACCATTAGCTAGAAGAACACACCATCTTGACGAAGCCAGAGCTTTCTAGGAAGACAGGATGGTGATCCCCAATTGACCTTGATGCCCTCCACGATATTACAGTAAATGTGTACTATAATTTCATTTGTTGGCCTTGCCTACACCAAAGAACCAGTAAGTACACTTGAGCAAGTTTTAAGCTTGCTGCTTTGAGTGCCAAAAGCTATGAAAACACATCCCAAAGGAACTCAGCACAGGTTACAAGCACCCCAGTCACACCCTACAAGCACCCCAGGTCCCAGATAGTCTTGCCCATACTGCAACAGAGCTCACAAAACTACATTTTACTCTTGGTTACATTAGTCCATCTGTAACTGCTGCAATCACATCTGCAGTGTAACTGCCAGTCCCACCAAATGAGTTTGCTGGGAAGCAAGACAGAACTCTGCAGTGGGGCATCAGCTGTAGTCCTGCAAGAGCCTTTCACAACCAAGGTTTAACAGCACTCTTCTCTCTAAAAATTGTAGCTAAACTGGTTGAGCTGGAGGGATGGAAATCTATGGAGTATTACATTATGGCTGTAGCTCTAGCAAAAAGTGCATGGGGATGACAGACACACTTGATCTGCAGTGTTCTCCTCTCAGTCAGGCTAGAGGCCATTCTCCAGTATGAGACAAGGACACAGCTGACTAATCTACCCCTCACATGCAGTGTTAGAATAAACCATCACAACAACTTCTGGGAAGATCCCAGGCCTTGTCACATTCCCTTGTGCTTTAAAAACAATATGTTGTTGATAACCCTAGAAGGAGAGCAAAGGAAAGCAACCTTAGTAGAATCCTCTAAAGAACCACAGCAACTGGGAGCGCGATACTTACCATTTTAGGAGGAGCCAGGACTAATATCACAAATCTCACTTCACAGGAGTTTTCACCCCAATTCTGAGGCCTCTCCAGGCGGCTGATACAAACGTGACGTCGCTGAAGGGACTTTATAGTGCAACTGTCAAGGAAGATGGCATTGTTATACATGGCACTATGACACATGACATGCTGTCTCCTGGTGTGCAAGGTCTATAAACACACATTTCAACTTTGAGACACACAAAACGTTGTTGGTTGTGAAAGGGTCGCTTTTTGAAATCTTAAACAATGACTTTAAGTTGCTATTAGCCCAATTCTAATTCTTTTGTAGGATTAGACATCTGTGGTTTCTTTGGAAATAACTTTCAAGATTTCAAGGTGTATTCTCCCTCTTCCCTCATCTGCTTTTTAATAGCCAAGAAACTAAAAGATAGAGAGTGCAACATACCTAGTATTTGCAGTGCTACAGAAGCTTCTACAAAAAAGCCCTCTTAGAAAAAAAACCCAAGACCTACATTATTGGAAAGCAGTTTGCACTTCATTTCATTTCACCTGATCTCCTAAAGTGCTTTTGGAAATATTAAGGGCAGGTGCCAAACCAACATATTTCCACTTTTGCCCTGGGCAGATCTCTCTCTCTCTGAATGGCTTTCCCTGTTTGCCCTCAGCTGTTAATTTTCCCCTTTCTTGTATAGGTGTGTTACAGAAACCTAGCTGACCTCCTTGCTCAAGATCTACAGAAGCTGTGGCAGGGAGGATTACTGGTCTGAGGGAAACCCTTGGCTGCAATCCAGCTAGCCCTGCTTAGCATGGGATGGCTGTTTGACTCCTGTAACAATGACTAGCCACAAGTTGCTTGAAGTAAACACAGAGATCATCTTTGGAGGCCATAAAAGACCAGGTCCATCTTTGTCCTGGGATATTTAAACAGAGCTGTGATCTGGGTCACCATCATTTTTCTTGCTGTGAAACTCTGAAAAAGCAGCATAGTGGCTTGGTGCTATTGCAGAAGGCAGCTGACACCACCCTGGACTGCAACTCTCCTGTTCCCATTAAAGGCACCTGCTACTTCTCAACAATTCTGAAAAGCACTGGTGAGATACGTACACAGCTTTTGCCTATTGACACTGAAAGAGGTATAGAAGAGTGTTTTCCTATCTCAGAGTTGTCACTTAGACTGCTTGCTCCCCCTTTTATTCATCTAGCAAGGGTCTATCACAGTTCTCTGTGATGGGAGGATTCATCTCTCCTTTAACTTTTCTTCCATAATCCTAGCCTATCTCTTTCCATTAACTGAATTCCCACACCCATGCACCCTGAAGGTCATTTCAGTAATGACTCCTGAAGATTTTTGGCTGGAGATGCACTAGTTGGGATCACATTACATTTTCTATGAAGTTCTTAATAACTTGCATACAAGAGTCACAGATCAATCTGTGATCTGATCACAGACTGAAAGCAGTCTACTTACACAAATTAATCTGACAAAGGCACTTGTCTGAGAGCAACCAAACAGCTTAATTAGAACAATATAGGTCATGAGCAAGATGACAGTATTTCATTTATTTCCTAACTCCCTTCCACCACAACCCCTTGTCCTTTGTCTCCTTGAATCAGCTTCAGAAGGGAGAAGGATCAAGGCAGGTCCTAAGGTTAGGAATAAACTTTTTCTAAAGTAATTGAAAAGAGCACAAGCTATCTTCTCAACTAAACCCACAGTTTGGATCTGCAACAATCCTTGTTCTTCCCTCCTGTGGGATCAAACAAGCACAGACAACACTGGTTTTCACAAGCAAATCAAAGCTCTCTGTAGCAATCCTGCTGTGGCTAGACAGCATACAAGCTTTCTTGCGTTACAGTTCAATCAGCCAGTAGGGAAGACAGATGAACTCCAGACTTTATACTAACAAGAGAACTCTCAAATGGTCCAACACCTTCAATTCTCTCACCTTCATCCTCCTGAACTGGTCAACAACAGTGAACAGTTAATGCACCATTAGCAAAAAAGACCCTTATCTTGTGCTCTGTTCTCAGCATTTTCATACCTCAGCTGTTGAACTCACTGAATAATTGAAAGGATGGCTTTCTGGGCATTTGGAACACCATTTCTATTGCAGAGATGGCCAGAAGCAGGTATTGAATACCTATTGCTCACTGAGCTGTACTGACACTTTCCACACATCATCCCTTTCCTACCATGGCAGCACCTGACCTAGCAAGAAACTACTGAAGTGCAAAGCATGGCCAGAGAAAACTTACTACAGGGCAAGGGCTGATGGCACCAGCACACGCCTCAGAGGCTGAAGTGGGGCAGGATAGCAAGGCACGCATATGAACATAAGTTTATACGTGTTGTGGAGGTACAAGTTTCCAGCTGCTTCTCAGCACTGCTGAGCAGCAGTACCTGCTTGCCTGCTCCCAACCCATTTGAGTAAATCCAAGAACTAAAACTTTACAAAAACCCCAGAATTTCAGCTTGCTCCTACCCAAGGCAGAAAGGCCAACATGTTCCCCTAGCTACAACATCAGTCACGTTGCAATATAGCAAGTTATTTGGGAAAATAGTGCAATAATTAGGCAAGCCATGTGGATTCTTCTGTAGCTAGCTTTCTCTCTGAAGTGACAGGGATATGTTTCAGCTCCAGTAACTTGTCTCTAAGGTTGTGCTTTCCAGAGATGATAGTCCTGCCAACAGCGCCAGCCCACAGGGCTACAACATTACTTAGCTCAAGAGCTCCTTGGGTATGGACAGGAAAACTTGAATCTTTAGAAACCTGCTCTTTGTCACTGAATCACTTTCATATATAGAACCTTATGTTTCTCTAAATCAGGAGTCCACTGTTTCTTTGCATTGAGGGACAGGGAAAGTATGCAACAAGATGATCTTGGAGCAATTAGGCAGTACTGGAAGATTTAACAACACTGAGCATATTCACAAGACACCAAGAAAACCACTGCCACCATCAGCCATTTTTATCTGAAAATAGTTTTATCCACAGTGCTACAGTCTGAGGCTTCTTGCATCTATGAGACAATTTCTTCCTACTGTTCTGTAAAGAGCTCTATACTGACACATGGATCTAAATCCCAGTAACACACCATTAAAACTGAGCATGGATCACTGGAGACTTTCCAACCTAGCTTAAGACAATGCATGGACACAATTTAAATCAATACCACCTTTATAAATCAGGCTGAATTGGTTTAGTGAGGATAAACTAGAGTAAAAGCAGAATTAAACGTGTGTCACAGAGAAGGTCTGATGCACCTGAGCATTGCTGCATGGAGGGGAGAAACAGTGACTTTGTGCAGAATGCAGCCTCATCTGCACCGAGCCTGGTCTTGCTCTGTTATGTCCATTTCTTTGGGAAAAACAGCTGATGCCTCAGTACTTACAGCGCAAGACCAAGTCACTTCTGCCCATGCATCATGCAGTGTCTCAAACTTTTCTTAAAATTTAGGCCATTATTTAGCTGACTCAAATCTTACTCCCTGGTGTAGCGCTCACAGCTCCTACTTTTGCTTTAATTTCAGAATTCAGATACAAACAGAAAACAAACCAAAACTTTAGTCCCTACTAGACTTGTGCAAATATTTGTAAAGGAGAAAAAAAAAAGTTTTGGTTCACATGAAGAATGCCCAAGTTATGCAAGACTTCAGGTAAAACTCAGCATAGTTCAGGCCAAGAGGAGAACCCCTTTTAAAACTAAGTGACTTTTTTTTAAGTAGCACTTAAGTAAATTCCCACTAAGAAAAAAATTCTGAAGGGTAAATAGCCAAAGCCCCAAAAAACCCGAGAACTAGCAAGACATTTTCAGCTGACTCTAAATCAAGTCTGGTTTGGCCAAAGCCTCCAAGTTCCCTTTTGGTTTGGGTTTAGCTAAATTTCATTCTCCTTTGGTTTGGCCAACAAGCTGAAAAATCCATTTTCACCCAGTATTAGTCACACAAAGAAATGCTGGTCTATGATTTAATGAGATGCCAGGTTGTGTTCTCAGCAATTTTATCTTGAGCCTTCAATAATTGAGCTCATAAAAAGGGCATTTAAATTATAGCACGCATTCCTGCTTCGCTGTCCTCCTCCTCTTTCCAGGCTGTGTACGTAGCGGCACTGAACGTGGCACTTGGATGGTGAGAACTGGCAATGCTCCACCAAAATCACTGATACACCAAGTCACACACGCCGCAGGTCTGCCCCACGCCCAAGATGTTATCAGAGTAATAACACATTTCCAAACAAATCATAAAAAGGGTCAAACTATGGAGACCCAAGAGAAACAAAACCCCTCTTTAAATAGGGCAACAAAGGAAGTTAATTCAGAAACAAATTATCCCCTGCAGTAAGAAAAAGTGCCCAGCAGAGGTAATCAGCTAGCCAGCCTTTTCCTGTCCCAATGCAGAATAACAATGACACTTCTTGTTCTCATCCACTGCAAATAAATCTTCCTCCACTGAGCAGCTCCAGGCACAAGCTTTCAGAAACCAGAATTTGCAAGTGAGGAATGAAGCCGTGACCAGCAAGCCAGCTCACCCGTAGCTTGGCACAGGGTTGTTTTGGCCACAAAGTCGCTCCAAGCTGAATATTGTTTTGGACTGGTAAATGCACTTTGCTGGAATCCAGAAAGACCCATCCTCTCTAGCAGTTAGTCTCCCTAGTGAAAAGCATTTCCTACAGGTCAATGCATAAGATGACACCACCTCCTCCTGTACACACGCTGCAGGCACTGCAACAAGTCATCCCTCTCCTCAACAAATCTCTTGCAGGATGCAAATTCCTAATGAAACGTTTGAATTTAAGAACTCCCTTTTCATAACACAGCAACTGCAAGAGCTTCAGCACTCCAGCATAACCTGGGATAGCCCAGCAAGGGTGGCAACAAGCACTTAGAAAAATCAATCAGTTCTTTGAACCCAAAGAATACTTGAGAGATGATGGTTGTAAGCTTTGGCGAAGAGCCTCTTGTTTACAAGATTTCAAATCTTGTAATAATTCCTCTAAAGGATAACATTTGTTTTAAACAGTTGAACTGTTTATTTTCCCATAGCATCCCATTTTGCTCTTTGAAAGAAGGGGCACTACTCTGAGGAACACTCAGTAACCAAAGCATCTCTATTTGATATCTATTCAAAAGCCAAATCAGAAGCGACGTGGCTTTTCTACAGACCCACAAGCCTCGAGATCTAGACAAATCCTTAAACACATAAAATAGGCTTTGCGTTACTTTTGTTGAGAGATCCATTAGTAACATGTTTCACACAACCACCGGTTATACATTAAATCTGAGAAGTTGCTACTCAAATTTTACTGTATTTGAACAGCAGTCTTGCATGATATCCAAAATAACCTCACAATATACACATTTTTGAAATGCTACCTGGGTTTTTCCTGAGTTAAACTGCTCCACAGGAATCATTACAATTACATACTATATCAGAATAAACAACTTTATAGCAACACAGAGCACACAAACCACTAAACCACTCACTGCTTGCAAAGAGGTTGGTTTCCTCTGCTTTGCCTGTTAAAACAGCTTCAGCAAGCCAGATGAACACCCTGAAAACAAATCCTTCACCAATCCATGTGCCTTATCAATGCAGCCAAAGGAAATGGCTCTTCAACCACTCAATTCCAACTATGAGGCAGCTCGCTTTCACGTTTTTCTGAGGAATCAGCTTTGGAAGAAAGTAATTTATCTATCTCCTGGCTCTACATCCCAAGTTCTCTGATAAAACAGTCAACCAGCAGCTTCACAGTGAAGCTGCAAGAGATCTCCATATCAGTTTGTGTCTTGCTGTTCTAGCAAATGAAGAGGAGAAAGAAAAAGTTGTGTTGATGGTTTCTAAGGTATGAGATCATGCCCTCAACTGAGGAAGCTAACATGTAACTCTGAAGATTTGCTTTCTAGTTAGAAAACCACCACATAAATACCTAGCAACCTTCATTCCTCTAGACCTGAAGGTTGTTTGTTAGTGGGGTATGAAGTACTGTGCTAGTCTCAGTTACGTAGAATTTCACAGGAGTCTTAAGGTTTCCATAAGCTTACACACCCTGGCATGGCTTCAGCAAGACCAGGTTTTGGTCCTTCTTGACAACTAAAAAAAGCCTTAAAGCCTATTGTGAAACAGAAGCCAGTTGTTTTCCCAGACTTCAGTGGAACATTCAAACTTCGAGATCTTCAACTCCCTAACAGTTTGCTCTGTGGCTATAGCCCAGATCCATAGGGTACATCTGACTTTGCTGGCAGTTCAATAGACCTGAAACTGTCAGGAAAGCATGTATTCCAGCAGAAGCAGAATAGCTATTTCGCCCTAGGTTTTTCCCACAACACTTCTCACTGAGGGTAAGTTAGAAAAGAAAAAGCAGCGTGCTTTCCAGTACAGGAGAGGGAACAAAATTTGTATCCATTAGGAACACTCTTCTGCAGTCAGGCTCTGCACAAGTCAGTGAAAATCCTACATAATTTTTTTTTTTCCCTGACTCCAAGCAAATTTCGGCTTTAATATTTCCACTCAACATCAGTGTAGAAGCAGCACCACCAAAGTTATCTGAGCTGCCTTTCCTTATTAATGTAATCCTATCATGATACTCAAGCCTATTTCACCCACTAGTTGGTTAAGGTGCACAAAAAACCCAGTAGTGCTAATTTAAAATTCAGCAAAGAATATAGACAAAATGCAAGATAAAGAACAGCATTTATCTTAAAGGTTCTTCCCACTCATGTGGAGAAATTTTTCATCAACAATTTCCTTTTACTTCAGAGTTTTTGAAGCTGTTTTGCAATCTGACTTCAAGAAAAATCTAAGATCTAAAAATATGGTTCACAATCTGTTGCACAATAGCTACAGCAGAAATACAGTGCAATAATTAGATAATTATAGTTAATAACTCATCACTGCTTCCCCACCACTTTCTTCACCCTCTTTAGAGTAACAAAAGGAAGAAACAAGGAAAGTTTTGCACAAGACACCTTCAGGCTGTAAGCTTGTTTTTCAAATCAAGTCTTGTCATGGAAGCTAGTATTACTCACGTGGATGCATTTAAAGCTTTGGCACACTTTCTACAGAAAGGCTGAGCCTACCCTTTTCAGCTTCATGTATCTAATCACAGCATTTGTATCATTACCTCTAGAAATGCTTTGTTATTAAATCAACACTCCAAAGCCCTTCACAGAGCCATGTCACATGCCACAGTAGAAACTTCCACCCTCTACCTTTCCTAGATTAGGATGTACATATTCTTAATGCTGCTATCCTACCTATGGCATCCAAAGGGGAGAAAACTGCTTGAAAGTCCTCTTGGTTGATCAGTACAGAAAGACCGTTTTACTGTATAAACTCATCACCTTTGTGCAAGCTTCTCTGTGCATGCCAGGCATAACAGTAGAGCTGACAGTAGCACATGCACCACAGACATTATCCAGTTAACTTCTTTCACAGAACAGTGCCTTGATATACAATAGTTACCACTATTTTCTCTTTCATAAGAGATTAGAAACAAGGGTGGCGTTTTTTGTTGTCTGTTGGCTTTTTTTTTTTTGGATTGAGGTTCTTTGTGGGTTTTTGTTTTGGTGGTTTGGTTTTTTTTTTTCCAAATCATCAATTTCCAAGGCAGAATACTCTACATTCTTTTTCCAGCCATAAGCAGAAGGTAGGAAAAGAACTGCTAATAGAAGGAAAACTACTGACAGTTGTCCTAGAAAATTGGCTGTGAAGGCTAGAACACGTGCATGTGCTCCCCGAGCATTTAGGCACCTATCCAACATAGTCTAGTAATTTCTCTGGAAATTAATATATTTCTTGACAACTTGACTTAGAGACTGCATATGCATAAAGCAACAGACAGAACTCAAATTGCATTGGTTTGGTTGGTGACTCAGGTTCTGGCCTTCCATGGTGAAGGGACATTTTGGCTCACCCAACACACTTCAGGACAATAATTTCAAAACTCAGTTTTGGCGAAACAGAAGCAGGGGTGAAGCCACCATGTCTCATAAATCCCAGATGACAGACTTCTTAAATATTGGAGCAGACCCTTAAGATAGTTAACAGTGTTGACAATTAATCAGTATCTGAATTAATTGTCAGACAAAGTAATCAGTGTATAAACAGTGTTGGAATTTCTGACTTCAATTTTCAGTTACCAAGTTTAGATGTTTTCATCAAAGGACCTAAGAAATCTTTTGGTACAACTTCACAGACGTTGTCAGGCAAAATAGTCCATGAACCAGTTTCTTGTCCCTTTCAGAAGTTCCTCTCATTATCATTTCTCAGTAATTAGCATTTTCTGACTCAGATTTTTTTCAAGTGTTCTTAGCTTGTTAACACCAGATTTCGATAGTGTCCAAGAGCTTAATGCCCTGTAGAGACTGTGGTCATCTCTGCTCAGGCTGCTGCTTGAGCATTTGCAGAGAGGAGGAGCCCAGTGCTAAGACTGATATCCCACAGGCTAGGATGCATAGATGGAGAGGGCACCGCCATCCCAATTTACAAGGGCATGTTCTGAACTGCTATTCCTCCCAGCAGCACAAGGAGTTATGAGTTTTGAGCAGCCAGTGCATTCTGCTCATCTAACCCAGGTACTTACATGATACACAGCCAGGACTGCTGATACTGCACCCCTGTGACTGTCGCTGTGACCCCTTGAATTGTATCAGATAAGAGGTGAACTAGGAAAAGAAGAGAAGGAAATGTTACAGGCTGTCCATCTTTGGTTTGCAACTGCAAATAACATTTTCTTTCAAATGGAAGTTGAGTACTAAGACCAAGCATACTTAGTTATCTGCACAGTTGATTGATGCAAGGGTGGGGGAGTGAAAACAGAGAAAGATGGAAGCATTTGTCCTGATGCTTTTGAATTCTGTCCTTAAACTATTTACAGCTTGGAAAGGCAGCTGTTTTCTCCTCCCAACATCAACCTACTGCAATATTAGGTTATTAGATTAGCATTATTCAACACACACAGAGGACTGCAAGAGACATCGTCTTCCAACTCCCCTGCCCTCTCTCCCCCTCTTCCTAATTACAGTTCTCAGATTATTTTATGACACTGCTTAATTTTTCTTTATTGGCAGAAAGCCTAAATTAAAGAGATTATATATGCGAAGCTCTAAGACAGGTAGGAAGAAGTAACCAAAGCATGAACATGCTTACTACATGCTCAGGACTTGACATATCTGTTAAACAAATTCACTCAGGCTGTGACAGTTACATTTGAGGTGCGATGTACATGTTTGTATATTCATTCCTGTTGACTCTGAAACATCATGGGTGCCTACAGAAAAACAACGCTTAGTTAAGCTTCTTTACATCCTGGGTTAAAAGGTAGCGTTTTAGACTATGCTAAGACATTTGTTGATAACTTAAGGTGACACGTGAGCCAATAACGTTGGCTAGAGTTACCCTAGTTGATTTTCTGGAGGAAAACAACACACCTCTCATCCCTTCCAGTGGCCTAGGAGCAACATGAAGACTCAGGACTCCCCAGCTAATTACTCATCCAAAGCAGTCAAACTTCCCCAGCCTGTGTGAATTCAGATGGAGAATCACAAGGCAAAGTAGCCATTTCTGAAGGGACACCAGCAAGTGCATCTTTGCTGAAGAGCATCAGACACTTGTCTGAGGGTAAGTGCACTTAATGCGTCCAAACAGACCAGACACTCAAGTGCTGTAGACTCTTCACCCCAGAGAACACCACTATGTGTCAACTTAACAAAACAGGGGCAAGACTCCACCAAAACATAAAAATCCCAGAAACCTGAGACCCCTCAGCCTGGGTAACGTGGAAAAATAAACCCCCAGTGTCTAATGCAACATGCAAGTGTGGGGACCATGCAGCAGTGAGTGTTCAACACACCACGAACGGAAAGGATGACAACAGGCAAAAGCAAATCAAGAGTTGATTACCATTTCCTTCTCGTGGGGTCCCTGAATCCGTGAATAAAGTGCTCATGATTTTTTCAAAGTTGCAGCTTGGCTCCATGTTTTCAGGGTCTTCAGCAAAGTGTTTCAGCATCTCTCGAAGAACATCATCCAAGGAGGTGGCTGTTTCATCAAGGATGATGCTGGCTCTGGCCAAGAACCCATCCAGGTCTCGGTGGGCTCTGACTTCTTCCTCAAAATTCTTTAATTTCAGGTACTGTGTTAAGAAGAGGTCACAGCATTAGATAGCTACACACAATACCTAACAGCAAAGGCCTAGGATCTGTGTAGCTCACAAGCAGTTTTGTTGAAGTTCCTACCATAAACCAATTACTCTGGAATCACTTTGGCTGTTCAGATCACTTTATAGAAGAAAAGGAGTTTTATGTTACATCATTAATGCACTGAAGGTCTGCATTTTCAAGTCTTACCCTAATACAGTCACCATAGGTGAATGCCTAGACACCGTTTACACCCTAACACAGAAAGCAAAAAAATAAAATTTGTTGCCTAGGATAAAGCACAAAAGTTAGCCTAAGAGCAAAAACATTTAAGGTAGCTTTAAATAATTCAAGAATTTTGCAGGAACGTGGGAAAAGTTTTTTGGAAGAAACGGAATCCAAGCTCAGTAGCATGAAAAAGTTACCACTATGAGAAGAGCTAGGTCAGGTTGCACTGAGATGCAAACTAGAAACCATCTCTTCCCAGTGCTCCCAGTTAGGAAGCCTGAAGTAGGAGATGGGGAATGCCATGACCTTTTATGACACTTCCTAAATTTCTATTGTTCCCACATCCAAGGAAGTTTTATTCATTCATGCATAATATTTAGCTTTGAATCAATGTGTGATGGGAGGCAAAAAAAAAAAAAAAAGAAAGCAGAGGCTGATACTGTCTCAACTCTCTGCTGGTTCCCTCTGCTGTCCCAGACTTGTTGGCCTTGAGATAAAAGCAACAGCTATGCTGTATTAAAGAACCTCATCTCCTTTCTGTATTTGCCAGCTGTTAAGTTCGTTAATTGAATGATCAAACTACAAATGTCTTGTTCCCATTTCACAGTCATTGGAAATCCAAACACACAGCACTCAGTACTGGTCAAGAAGGACCGACAGTCCTGTCCTCTCCTTCAGCTTAAGGCTGAGGAAATGGGAACTGTACTTTGTTATATGGATCTTCCTTCTGATGGAAAAACAGCCATGCTTGAATTCATGATGCTGAGAACTAGATTATCAAGATACATTTAAACCCTGAATTCCCCTTAAGCTCAGTAAGAATCAAGCTCTGAGATGCATTTACAAATCTGATACCAAGTTAACTCCACAACCAGGACCCTGGCACATTCTACCCTCTACAAGACCACCTCTCAGAGCCTGACTCATGGATCCCCTCCTCTCACAAACCCTCTCTACCTTTTCCATTTATAGCCTAGACACAGGGGAGAAAAAAATATGCTAATATCTCACTAATTACTGTAATTATCACAGCAACTATCAAGTTGTCAGTACACATCCATTGCAATTAGCACTGTTTTACTTTGCATCAATCACTTCTTACACAGCATCCCCAAAAGGGAGGATTCTGTGAAGGATTTCAGCTCCCACCCCCAAGGCTTTATTACCATCTGCTCTTGAGAGAGGAGACAGTAACACAGCTATGCTACTAGTCCATGCAGAAGAGATAATATAACTGCAAGTGGCCAAGTCAGTCTCAAATTATTACTGCATGAGAGCAGATTAAAACCCCTATCACCATTTGTAACACTGGTGTTCATGGGGTCACCATATGACCAGCAACCACCTCCCAGAGGTAACTCATTTCAGCTTGTCTGGCCTGCAGAATCCAACCTTGGATGTAGGTTCAAACAGCAAAGAGGCCAAATGACCTAGATTGCATTTAACAAGGTGGATAGCAGAGGAGGTACCCACATATGTACAATGAAGGTTAAGAGCATCAGGAGTACCACAATACTGAGGAGCTTTCAAAAAATCAAGAGTGGCTTTGTGTCACCAACTTCCTCCATGCATGAGAAGCCACCAGAAGCAGAACAGGGGAAGGGATATGTTAAGTGATAGCTGAAGACACCAGGAATTAATCAAAGGCATTCAGAAGAGCACTAGTATCTGCCCACATCGTCTCAATCAACACTGATCCTCCAGTGAGCTGTGCATGACAACATCATTTGCATGTTGTGGCATGATGGTGCTTTCAGCAGCTTACTGCCAGTCACCTCCAGCTCTGCCACAGGCTTCAGACCATGCCTTGTGTAAATCATTTTCCACACCTCAGTCTTGGTTTATTCCCCTGCTTTTGGTCCTTTACAGGAAATAAGGATGCATATTGCTCCTACTATCACTCCCACAACACTGGGGAAGATATAGACATTAAACATCGCAAGGCAACCAGCCACCATGAAAAGCTATCAATACATCACTCCTTGAGACAAAGCAAGATGAAATTAACAGAAGCACTGCTACAGCAATACCTCAGCGAGCTCAGAACAGAACTGTCCCAGTCAGGACACCCGATGGTTTCAGGGGAAATTAATGACTGCTCCTTCACAAATATTTTTAGCTAGATGGTCAAGTCACACCAGGATACTTGATGCTGGAAACTGCTTAGCAAGAAACCCAAGACAGCTACCCAATAGCCATTTTAATTGCATTGAGTATCCTTGATTGCAAAGCTGCACATTGCATCATGGCAAAAAACAGAAGCTGTTGTGCCAAAGGGGAGACATATTCCAACAGCCTCCCCTGACTTCAGACAGGTCTTTTGGCCAACCACCATAAGACACAGTTCCACACTTGATCTGTGCAAAAAAGAGCTCTCAACACTCATGAAGGCGGCCCAAAAATGCAAGTTCTCTGCTGTGTGACTGGAGACCACCTCTACTTGCAGACACTGCAAGAACCTTACAAGAAGGGGCATTCAAAAAGCATGTTGTCTTGAGCAGATCTCTACCTGTGCTGTGTCCATGGTCACTCAGGGCAATTCCCTCAGAAATGCACTGTGATGATCATTAAATAGTTCAAACCATGTCAAAAAGCTTCTCCTTATTTATGCCTCCTAAGTTTCATGCCAGATAGCAACTTGCCCAAGACAAAGATTGCTCTTCCAGCACTCCTGAATGGGCACAAGAATCATAGGCTACTGCCAGAGATGAGGACAATCTAGGAGGTAAACATTTCCAGACAAAGCTTCCGACCTGACCACTTGTCTTCTAGTGATTCCCTCTTCCCAGTCACTTGGAACTATCTCCTCTGTGACTCCGGTCCTTATTTGTCTTTGCATTTGAAGCTCATAATTTCCACTTGTCCTCCCTGGAGGCAAAAACTGGCAATAGTATCTTTTGTCAAGCCATGCTAAAGCATGTTATAGCTCTCCAGTATTTGTTGCTCAAGAGCACACTAAAAATGCTCAAGCATGAACTATAGGCCAGAAAGGCAAGAATCCTACAACTCTGAAAAGGAAAAATAAAATAGAAGAGACACTTACATGTTAGCAGTTTCCAACTATTCTTATCAGAGGCAGATCCTGCATTTAGGCTTAGAATTTTAAGTTCTTAGGTTACTTTCAGTCAAGTATATACAACTCAGAAAACCTTGGCACTAATATTAGACAAGACAAATTATTGACAAGGACACTTCCATTGCAGAGCACAGTACAGCTTATTTTAACTTCTAAGACTTAATATCAAACAATGTTTAATGTTTTTGTTGTTGATGGGTTTGTGTTTTGGTCGATTTGAGATTATTTTTTTTTTTTAAACTTAGAGGGGAACATTTCTTCTACTCTCTTCTTCCCCCTACTAATTGAGCCTGCTGAAATAACTTTTCAGGATTTGAGCTGTCTTAGAGGTGTAAAGGAAAGCAGAGTTAGAGCTCACTGAGCTTCCCTAAAAAGCACCAAAAGTTTTGGTACACAGGTTTAAGAACCCAAGTTACAACCTTCAAAGCAGCCTACAACATATGCTTTACCAGGATCAGCGATGCTACGAGTTTTCACGTAGCCAGCCAGCCCCTCCAACTGGCAGATGAGGCAAGAGTCAAGACAACTAAAAGCCATGCCTCACAGTCCCAAAGACCAAGACTGCATGTGGTATTAAATATCAGCCCCTTTCCTCTCTATATGCTTTCTATGTACTTTCATAGTCAGAGGTTTGTAGTAATACAGCCTACACTAGTACGGTTTGTGTTTTTGCATTTCCACCTTATCATTATTGAGTTACAATCTCAAGAGCAAGTGTAAACTAAGCGTTGTTTCCTAATCGTCCTCCTAGATTGTGTGTTTCCAGGGAATTCACTCCTGCTGAACCTTGTGAAGGCAGATCTGATTAGCTGGAATAAACAGGAAACCAAATCACAGCAATGTCTATTGGGTGTTTCTGCTTTCAGCTCAAGAGGAGCTCAGCAGTCTGAATCTCTATGGTATATACTTGGATCCCTTTGCAGGCAGCTGCAGAAGAGAAAGTGATGAATTAACGTGTCAAGGAATTGTCTGGGACAAAAAGCAGCAGAACAATCAGAATTATAGTGAATATGTTTGGAGAACAAGCAGCACATGGCCTTTAAGGTTTAAATAAAGGCAGAGGAATTCAAGGAAAGAGACATTAATGTGCCTTCTGTTTAGGCCAGTAAAAAACACCCCCCCCATCCCCACCGAGTATTTCAAAATCCTTTTCTGTGCTTCTAGATGATAAAAAAAAAAGCAACAGCTTGATCATACAGCATTCCTTACTTACCTTCCTTGATGTGTGCAGTAACACGCAGCCAGCACTTTCATTTTCAGCTGGAAAGGGTGGGGAAAAAATAAAATCAGAAAAGTGTTACTATTGCAGGTACCTGACAGGCAGCAGGAAACAAGCAGAAGGCTCAGAACAAGGTGAAGCATTGACCTCTTAGGAGACGATGATCTCTACAGAAAAACAGATTCAATTTTTACAACATTTCCCATTTTGGAAGTGTAGACTAAGTGCAGAAGCAGCCCTTGGCATTATCAGATCTGTTGGGGTTTGTGTCTTACAGCCTCATCTGTTCATAAGGGGGTTTTTTTTGTTTGTTTTTTTCCTCCTATGTATTTTTACTCTTCGCTTCCCCCCACAAAAAAAAAATCTAACTCCTAATCCTTTAGGTAATCATTTAATCCAATGCATCGTTGTTTGATAGATTGAGGCTAAGATTGCATGAGTCACACTCGTTTGGAAACCATTCTTGTCCTCATTAAAGAGTCAACAATAACACCCAGGCACTTCCAACTGAGCGGGCTGCGAGAGATCGCACGCAGTGACTCGAAGATGAGCACATTAATGTCCTGTCAACTCACCACGCTGCCTCCATAAATCTCAGTGTAAAGCAACAGAGCTCTTGGGAAAGAAAACTGCTGTTTAGAGACTATTAAGTGTCACTTAACATGCAGCCACGATACAGGCACAGGGGTACCCGGGAAGTTCCCAGTTCAAACATCCATGCAACAATATTAACATTTTCTTAGGGTACCTATGAAGTAATTTTTCAGGTATAAGCTAAAAAATATATAGAACATAGTGATTTTTGTCACAAGCCCACTCCATACTGCTTGCATCCAAGGGAGCTTCTCTGTAGCATCACTAGTACCACAGGTACTATCTGTCTATCCTTCTCCTTCAATGTCTTCATCTTCACACTCTCCAAAAAAAAAAACAAAACCACAAGACTGAGCTGCTACCAAAATTATACATGAAACATATGAACAGTTTTCATTCAAATAAGCATAGTGACAGCATGGAAAAAACCCACTGAAGACCAAAAACTTTTCCAGAGGCTAAGCTATGGAAAAATACAGAGATGTAATACAGTTACAGCTATTCAGATGAGTTTTTTGCTTCTTTTCCAGATCTGGAAATATCCTAATATCCTTCAAATCTGAACCTGTAAGAACTGCCGTAATCCCATTTCACAGGCTGGCCAAACACACAGGCACCTTCAAGCCCAGCCCTGCTACTCTCCAAAAATAAGCTGATGATGCAATTCACATGAGAACACCAGAACTCCAAAAAAGTAATTATTTTTTGTGCACAGAAAGCTGCTTTAACTAAAACTATCCCTAATCAAACAGAAATCCTAGTCATGTCCACAACGGGGTTAAAAGGCTGCAACTCAAAACTGGGAGCAGAGTTGACTGCATCAGAGAAGAGGGAAAGGATTGCCTTTATCTCCCACTATACAAAACGGTTCAGAGGCTTTGGTTACATCACCCAACTTCTTCCAAAGTTCACTTGGATGCTGCACATGTGATTAAATGCATCACTTATCTAGTCAAGTCTGCTGGTGTAACAGTCCCAATTATTACAAGTTTTGACACATCTTTTGGAAAACACAAGCTGTTTCATCTAAAAAATGTTATTTATTATTAAAAAGCAAGCACCCAAATAAACCAGAAACATCAAGCCTTTCCCCAGACTCTTATATTTGTAGTTCTCCAATGCTCACTTACTCAACTTACAGCCTAATTACACATGCAAAAGTATGCTGGAAGATTTGGAAGCCATAAATATTCATTGAGAAGAAAACATGTTTTGGTTTTTCTGCTCTTGCAAGAAAATAGCTCCAGAGAGACAAAAAATACCCACAACCCTGAACAATAGCAAGCACATGCTAACAGAGAGATATCTGCATATCTGCAGTCTGTCCTTATGGATACATGCAAACGCAACAGAAATTCACATTGTCTTTTTATCATGCAGCAACTCTTGGTTCCTCTTATCAGTTTCAAGCATGTATCAATCTTCTCCCTTGACAGCTCTCTCAGGTACTCATCTCGGATGAGCACCGAGTGCTGCTTTGTCAACAGAAGCACAAACATTTAATTACATCCGTTGGACAAGGATCTTTCAAACTTCTCCAAAAAAGCTATTCTGGGTAGAGAAGTGATGCTTTGGAAGGCCCAAAGCCTCATTCATCATTTCATCTGGGCAACACACCACACAGACTTGATCCAGAGAAAGAAGACATCTGGATATGGCCAACCCAGTTCTGGACTGTTACCTAAAGGCCCACTGGAGTGCTGTAACACTACTCAAGAATAGTATCACATACACTGGCACACAAAGAATGAGGGGGAAAAAAACAACACACAGACTTCCCAAGTGCTCTTCTGCCTGGCTTATGAACCACCCATTTACTTACTGTGGGGGGAACCCACTATGCCAATGTAAGATAAAAACCTGCACAGAGTTGCCCATGACACGTCCATTGGGAAACAACCTTGCTAAAGCCTAAGACAAACCACCACCAGCCTGCCACCCATTTTTCTTCCCTTTCATGGTACTACCACTGCTTCCCTCTGATTATTGAGGACCTGAAAAGATGCAACACCCTTGACCCTTGCACCTCCATGGAGGAGCCCTTAATGGAGAAAAAAATGGATACAGAAAACCATGGATTCACCCTCTACTGACAAGGAAGAGACTATCCATCAATCATGAGTTATAACTCACTACCAGGAGTAATAACTAGATTTCACACCTGAATGTCAGGATTAAGCATACTTAAACAGCAAGAAGAGGTCAGGGTCATGTAAAATTTCCATTTCTATTTTTGTGGTCCTCCTTGCTGGACAAAGCAGGCTGCAAAAGTCTATTTTAGGCAAGCTAGCCAGCTAAGGGCATTACTGTCTCTGTCCTCATACATAGTTAAAGGAGAGCTGCCAGGGGTGGCCGACCTTATCTGATAGGCTGTGCTCCAAGTTCTGCCCAGGGGAAAACCAAAAAGTCAGCAACGCATCTCCGACATCCCCTGGCAGCCACATCAAGGCGACACGCATATCCCGAATTTCTAGGATGCATGCACACAAGCACGCAGCATTACTGAATACGCTACAAGCTACTTGCTGCAAGTTCATTTCAGTTTTAGCAACACTGATGAATTGCAAACATGAGACTTAACGCTTGTGGCCTCCTGTCAACACATTCAGAGCCCTGCCAGGGCACTGTGGCATGCCTTCATTTTTTATATCCCACCATTTGCAGAAGAACAGGACCCATCCAGCTTTGACCTGAACAAGGCGATTTAATACACGAGAAACACAGCAAGAAATTTATTTAGTATACTCCAAAGGGATTTCATCCCAGCTGCCCTTTATGTAACATCCCTGATAGCAATTGAGAAATGAAATCTCCTACCTGCTTCCCCCTCCATGCCCTGTTTACATAATGACATCTTCTATGCAAAGACAACCCTGAAAACAAACCCATGGATGTCATATGCCAAAGTTTAAGGCTTTTCACCTTTTACCTCAAGAGATCTCCTTTCACTTAAGATCCCCTTTCCATCCCTTCCCTTCTACAGTTCCCCAATGCTGCTCTTAACACCTGAGAAGACTCAGAAGTCTTCGGAGCAAAGCCTTGGATACCTGCAGCATCTTAAGACCATTTCTCTTTGAGATAGCGTAGAAATTGGATAGCGGGAGGTTTTTGGCTGTGCAGGTGTCAGTGCACATGACTTTAGATCTATATGCACCCCCCAGTGCATCTGCATGGTAAATAGACTAATAAATCAGAGCAGAATATTACATTAGCGCTTCCATTATTTTCTCAGAAAAATATCAAGGATCTGGCAGGAGGTTTGAGGTTTGACTCTATAGGGTTTTATTATTAAAAAAGCGATTTTATCTGGGCATTGGCGATTTCTTTAGGGGTCTGAGCAAATCTGAGCCTCAACCACTTGTGCTGAACCCCATTGCAAGCATCAAAAACTGTTCTGCTTTTAGAATCTGTTGCCATAAAAACCAAATAAAAACACATCAGCACATGGCACAAAAGTAGCTTGTTAGGAGCAGTGGAGACACCTCTAACTCATCATTGGCAGTGAGGGATTGCACAAGCAGGATCTCAAGAGGATCCTTTGCTTTGCTGTCCTGCCGTGGTTGTGTAGGGATTCAAATCCCCATCAGATCTGAATAATTTTGGTTAAATATTATTAAATAAACATGCCCCAACTATCCCACATTCCCATGACAGGGTGGTGGGCTGACCTGCAGCAAAAAGCCTAGAATCAGCTGGGTTCATCCCTCTTAAACCAACATCCAGGTTAAAGGCAGGTGGGAATAAGCAACAAGCTGCATGTTTCTGGAGCAGGCTGGAAAGGAGCAGGCAGGGTGGGGAGGAAATCCTCACCTGAGTAACGCTCAGCACAGACATCACAATGGCTGGGCAGGTGAAGGATTACCGCCTCGCACTCCTCCCTGGCCATTGCGGAGGAATTGGTGAGAGAGGCAAGACAACAGAGACTGATCAGAGCTCTTGCACAGAAGCAAGGACAAGATAAGAGTGCCGAGCACTGTGTCATTTGTCACACCCCCCAGCTCCTCAGACATGCACGCATTGAAAGAGCAAAGTATTTTTTTTTTTCCTCCAAAAAAACCACACTGCAGTAGGTTTTGCCATTAAGTTTGGGGCAGGGGAAGAAGGTGCATTTTTCCATGCCAACAGGAGGGACAGGGCGCTCAAGATCCCAGGAGAAGCTACCCCAAAGCAAAGCCAAGGTGAAGCATTTAAAAGGGAGAACGCTGCCTTCGTGCAGAACCACCCACACTACTCAAACATCCCCCCCCCTCCCTGCACCTCCCTTGGCTTCATAAGAGCTGCTTTGAAAACACCCTCGCCAGGAAATTCAGAGGGAGGCCGTCTCCCCCCCAGCACACAATTAGTGTATCCACTTTCCATTAGAGTATAGGAAGCTTCGGGAGCCCAACATCCCACGCTGACATCAAACTGCTAAAACAGGAGTTATCAGATGGAACGCGTGGGTCAG